TCATTCGGCGTATAAGGTCCACTGTGGATTTCTTAACTTTATTCATAACTGTATCTATTGGTTTATTAATTTCCACATATGGTCCTGTTTGTATGCGATTATTTACCTTGTTAAAATAGTCTGATTTGTCTAATACTACTGTTGCATTTCCTTTGTCTGACTTTGTGATAACTATATCCTTGTTATTCTTAAGGTGTTTCAGGGCTTCTATCTCTTGTTTTGTCAGGTTGGGTTTTCCACATTTTTGTCGTTTTAATGTCAGTGCACACTGTGCTCGTATTTCATCAGCCGTGGTTTTGTCTATCCCACTTAGCGCTATTTCTGTTTTAGAGATGACATCCTCAGATTTCAGCTTGTCTACTGATACACTGAAATTTAGTCCCTTTTCTAATACACTTATTTCCGTAGGACCTACGGAAATAAGTGTATTAGAAAATGAGTTGTAGGCAGAATGCACATAGAAACCAGAGAAAATATGAAATTATGTAGTCGTTCTAAAGATATGCTTGTGTTATAAGTAGTTATAAAACCAAACAAATAAAAATCATATCAGTAGTAGAAATGGTGAAGTAATTTTCCCTCGGATACATAACTCTGGCTTTTCTCATCAATTGGCTAAAGTCCATGCAATTCAATGGAGGTGAAAGTGGATTGCCTTTGGCGGGTTATTCTTCATTTGAAGGGGGTGTCCATTGGGATGGAATGACCAATGTTGACAAGGTATTCGATTACTGCACGCTTCTGCTGATATACGGGATAGTTTCCGTGAATTCTTTTAGACAGGAAACGAATCGAACAACCAGCATATATGGCTCCACTGCAACAGCTGAACTTAAGCAAACACATAGAAACGATATCTTGTCCTTTGATTTTCGGCCAACCAGCGTGAGACTGGAGAACATTATTCTAAGCTTTGATGAGAAGAAAGTTCTTCGTAAAGAAGCTGAAATTCTCCTCTTAAGGACAACACTGAATGGGTCACCTTTGAAGTCTAGCTTCATGTGAAGATACTTCGCAGACATGATTTCTCTGGTCTTTGAATTTTCAACTTGATGTTTCTGTCAGTAAATGTTGTTGGATATCCGCTGTGCATGACGATTTCTTTCAGAAAGTGTAATTCTTCGTGCAGATCGTCGGAGATGTAGATGCATTGGACTCGAGTAGCAAGAGATACAGATGGGTTTCTTTTACGAGTAATTATTATCAAGCTGTAGAAACTTCCCAGTTGCCAGTTCCTTGTGGATTTCTAACTTTCTAACAGTTCCATCGGCTCTTCTTGTACAGTCAGCATCAAGAAAAGGAATTTTTGACTCATTCTCTATTTTGAGAGTGAAGAACAAGATTCGGATTTTAAACACTAATTTCGAATCACTCAAAACTTCTGTGCGGTTCAGAGCCTTGACGAGTGCGTCATTGTGAACATTTCAAACAGGCTGCTGCATACTTACATCGAAAGTTGCTTGAGGTTACCTTACTTAAGATCAAAGGACTGACCAGAAATGACTGGCAACCAAGAACTCTTGCAGCAAACCAACCAATAAGCTATCGATCAGCACATATATATATTTATACATATATGTATTATTCCATTACGTTCCCAGTGGAATATAGGGCTTCAAGCTAGAGCTTTGGGGTTTCAGTAGCAGTGGCGTTTACATTTACAGGATGGAGTCGCCAGCCTCACGTTCAAGTTTCCCTCATTACCATTCTTATTACTGACTTAGCGTGGTAAACGAATGCGTCGGACGGGGAATGAACCCCAAACAACATGCGTGTTTGGCGAGCGTTCTTCGGCTGCGCCACCAACGCATATTACCCAACAAATATGCCGAATGAAAAAGAGGTGGATCGGACACATCCCGAGGATACCGATCAGTGGCATTGCGTGCCAGGCCCTCGAGTAGAATCCTAACAGGAAACGAAAAGCTTGGCTGGAGTCCAAGGGTGTCGTGAAGTAGTTCGTGTTTAGAGCAGATGAGAGCATGTGGGCAATCGCAAAGTCAGCTAAAGAGAACTACAGAGACCAGGAAGAAATAGAGATATGCTGTTTTGGTCGTATGTTCCACTTGAAACCCAAGCGTATTTTTTTGATTTTGATTATTTTTGATTATATAGCTTGAAACCACACAGTTGTTTTGGTACAAGTATGAAATTTTCAGCATGTGATATCGGTAGCCCAAATTTTGCAGGCCAACCACTGATAACAGGTGTGCGCCGGCAGAGGATCGAACCCCGACCAGTCTGCATGGTCGGCGAGAGTCCTAACCAATGTGCCACCGACGCACATAATATAATCAGAAATACGAATATCTTTAGATTAACCATTTACCATCACATTATCATGATGCTTCATAGCCTGCATATTATGATTCAAATTCGAAATCAAGATCCAGTGGTCACTATCCCATATTTCTACTTGCATTAGGATTTTACTGACTTTTCGTAACACATAACACCATTACAAAAATGACAAAATGAAATCGAAAGATACTTGCTAAAATGTGCCACAGTTTAAGCAACACTTTTATTTGTGCATTTTATTGATGAGCAGTTAGTTCGAATAGCTACTATATGAGGCAGAAGATATTAAACAATCTATACTGACGAAACATACGCAAAATGAAGGTGTAACATTTTTATTTTCGAGCTGATACACAATTACGCATGGAAGGCAAATCAGCGTGATTTGTATCGTAGGTGACCGTTTATCTAGTATGAAACTAAGCTCATAAACCGATGTAACCTGTCCAACAGAACTCAATTAGTTGAGTCAGATCAAAGCACCCGATTTCTGTCTACCTATTTGAGTGCAGTTTACAATTTTCCTAGTTCCAGGAGGTAAATTTTCACAGCACTGAGGTAATTTGAAATGATTCAGCCGTCTAAGGTAGGTATAACTGGGTATATCAAAGATAAGCTGGACACAAACCAGAAAAATTGCTGTCTAATGTTTGTATTACTTCGATCTGGTTTCCAAGCACTATCATTTGACATGAGTGGTATGTAACTACTCATTATTATTTAATCAGTAGTATTGCCTTGCACACTCTTGTGATTGATCTTTTATTTGGTTTCCAAGGGAAACTGCTAATTAATTCACAAATTGAGAATTTGACTTAAAAAATAAAAATAGTAATGTAAATGACAAAAACAGCATAGAATTTGAGGACTCAGTACTTCTACCATTTAAGGAACAGCTATGAAAGGCCTCACGAGGCATTCTCAGTACAGCTGGATTAGGGAGTAATTCAATCTCACCAATTCACCAAGAGGTAAACTTCGGAAGCTTAAAGATTCAATGAACTCAATTGAAGAAGTAATATAATTCACCAATTAAAATAGGGCATTTACATTAATAATATTGTTGCGTAAGAAGTGAATATTAAATTAAATCAAGCAACAACTTAAAAATGAGAACAAAAAACAATGCCGGTTTACTTAGAGTTCCTTAGTAAGTCGGCAACTTCCTGTCTTACACTTTTCTCATCAAATTAAAATATGTGCCTGCTAAATAAGGTGTTGAGTTTTCGTACTTAGTCTTCCGAGCATACAGTCTTCTAAAGTTGCTTCAAGTTCTATCCGATAAGATGCAAGAAGAGAGTTGTGAATAGAGAGGATGTTGAGTCTGACACGATAATATTTGATAGTTTCTTGCAGCAATCCAAGTGTCTATCTAAAACAGTGTTAACGAGTTAGGTTAGGAACACCCACTCACCCTATGCAGTATAACAAATTCTATCTTAAGTAGCCCAGGAGGGATTAAGGGGGAGCACTAAAGAAGTATGGGGAGAATACCAGGATTAGCGAATGGTAACAATAGAGACGGAATGATGCCAGATCGTCTTAACTCTTTTACATAAAACGTCTAGAAAATAAACATGATGTGGGAAGACCAGGAAAGGTATTCATAGGAAATATACAGTCCAAAGTATTTAACATTATATTTGGTTTCAACTTCAGTGTCATCTGTGATGGCGGAACTATTCGAACTAACCAGTTCATGTAATTCGCGCTTGCGTCTGAAAGTGAAACTAGTTATCACTTGACATTCAGAGGGATTAAGCTAAAGACTGTTTGACGAGGACCGTTGACTTGTCTCTGATAAAAATTTGTTCATTTCGGAACAGTCTGACTGAGAAGTAATCGCTGGCATCCTTCACAAAATTGGCTTCGTCAGAAAGTGGCAAATAAGTCATGTTGGAAGAAAGCAAACAGAAAAGGAGAAGGAACAGCTCCCTGAGCAACATTGGCCAGAGTAAGTGAAAGAGGCAGTGGAGGACTTTCCATTGTAAACAGCGTGCTACTTCCTATCAGTAAAATAGGAATGCAGCCACTTGGTAATTCAGCACTGTGCTTGTGACTCAACAACCTTGTGTAACTAATAAAAGAGGCCTGGGCGAAGAGTTGAAGGCAGAAGCATATAAAATGACGCAAATCCTATCCCGAATATAGGGAAAATTACATTAAAAATCGACAGAGGTTGTAAAAATGAATGATATAAAGCAAATATCAAGTCATTTTTGATGTGTCCCATGATAGATTGCACCAAAATGCTTAACCTCTTTTACAGTTCTAAAACCTAGTATGGATGATTCGAAGATGCCTGATGATTAACAAAAAGCAATTTGGCCGGTGGTCGCTAGCATAGTGGAATTTCGAATGGGCTTCTCGTTCAATCTGGAACTTGCCAGCCAGTAACCAGCTTGCGAGAGTAGTAGCGTTCCTACTGTGACTCGAACCCAATATCCACTGTTTCCACTAGACCACTCGAGTGATGAAGAGAAACCTCTTGTGTAATGAACATCAGTCAGAAACTGAGGTTAATCGGTTCACGTCTCTACTGAGTACATCATTACTCACTGGAGTTCGCTTATTTAGCTAACGAGTGTCAAAAAAGACGGAGAACACACAAAAACTGATTCTTCTTTCCAGTTAGTCCGCTGAATAATTTACATATATGCTAAACTTATCCTTCGTTTTCTAAAAAACCCTTTTTTCAGTGTTATTCCATGGAGATTCGCCAACATCAGAAATCAAAAGTTTTCATGACTATATACATGAACGAAATGGATACTGGGATTCAAAAACCTCCAATGAACACACCCTATTCTACTTCAGTATACCCAACAAATACTTCGATGAGGCATTGTCAATTTTTGCATCGCATTTTATCAAGCCAGTTTTGAAACGTGATGGCATAAGGAAAGCTGTTGAAAAGTTGGATATGGGTAAGTGATTCACTTGGCTTAAACCTTATTACTCTGAAATCATCATATTGATATATTTTACCTTCATAAATGTTCAAACCATGTTCACTTTTAACAGTTTGAAAAAAATTTGAGCTTTGAGTATATGATATTCATTATAATAATGTCTTTTTTGTATTTCCCAATGAATGAAAAACAAAACGATATTGTTGTTTTTACGCTAATTAATACAGCTGCTAATGGCTTTATCAAAGTAGTAGTATTATTAAACCAGAATTTACAAACTTACAGCTCATATATAACAACTTGATCATTGTTCATCAGCATGGGGGCAATTTGCGTTATTAAGCTGGTCAATTGGTAAAGTTAACAAAACCAGGTGTAGATTGTTGCATTTGATAAGTATGTAAAATTGTAAACGCAGCGTGTGTTTACACTATGAAATTGCTTATCACACCCGTGTTGATTTCATCATTTCATGGGGGATGGGGTGGGGGTGCTGTAACCGGGTCAAATCCCATATTATTCCATCATCCCTATTCAGACAATTCAGATTCCACTTGATATGAAATGCTTCTGATAATGTAAGATGTTCTTTGTGATTTCTGAATTTTTTCTGGATTATTCTTAAAATGTCAGAATCAATTTGTGGCCTGATCCCATTGCGTGTAGACCTATGGCTGATGATTTTCCAAGGTTTTCTAGTTCACTAACTGGATTTCTCGGTGTGCATTTCTTCTGATTTTGATTTCCTTCTTGTGATGTTTGTCCAATGTATATTGCATCACATTTCAAGCGTTATATTTTATAGACACAACTAGATAGAGAATTTTTAGGGATTTGGTCTTTAAATGGACAAGGTTGTTTCGTAGTGTGTCTGATGTTTAGAAGAAAACTCAATGTCGAGTTTACTGGGTACTCTTCTGACACCATCTGACGTCTTTGCTCTATATGGAATGACGACTAATGAGGTCCAAGTTTTCGGAATACGTTTCCACAATATGCATTGTCATTGTTGATTTTGTTGATGAATTTCCTTAGGTATTTCGTTTGCTTGAGAGTCTCAGTAATGTTTGATATTTCCTCTTTTCCTTTTTCATCTATTAACATCAATGAGTGTGCATGCCTAAGAGGACTTGAAAAAAGGGGTGCCTTTGCGCTGATGGGGTGTGATGATTCGAAGTGGGTTTTCTATACTAAAATTTCCTTTTTCCTTCCTGTGAACTAGGCAGTCTAAAAATGGTAGTTCATTGACGTCTGATTCTGCTTCTGAAGTAAACTGGATTCTAGGAGATAGATTCATTAGCTTCCCCAAGAATGAACTGTGTAGATCTCGTTTTAGCACTACAAAAGTATCATAATATTACTTTGATGAAGCTATTAGCAGCAGCATTAAATAGCGAAACGTCAGTAAAAATAACAATATCTTTTTGTTTTTCATTCATTCATTGGGAAATACAGAAAACCTTTATTATTGTTCCCTTGGGTTCCTAGTGGAACATAGGGCTTCAACTGCACGTCTCCAATTGCTTCTGTCTTCTGCTGTTCTTTTCACTTGCGTCCATGTTATTCCATACTGTTTCATCTCCTCCTCACACGATCTCCTCCATGTCACCCTTGCACTGACGCCCCACTCGCCGCTTCCCTTTCGGGTTCCACTCGAGGGCCTGACGCGCGATGTCACTCAACGGCCTCCTCAGCGAGTGTCCAATCCATCTCCACTTCCTCCTGCATATTTGTTGGGCGATTGGTTCCTGTTTCGTTTGTTCCCATAGTTTCTTGTTGGTGATTCTGTCCGGCCATCTGATCTTCAGTATAGAGCGAAGACAGTTGTTGATAAAGGTTTGCAACAGGCTGTTGAAAATACCCTTTGTGACCCGCCAAGATTCTGATCCGTATAGAAGAACTGACTGACTTGACGTTTGTATTGAAAATCCGAATTTTGTTGTTGATGCTGAGTGACGAAGATTTCCAGATTGGTTTCAGGTTGATGAATGTGTTTCTCGTCTTCCTGATTCTCGATTTGACATCCTCGTCCGTTCCTCCTGTAGTTGAGACAATGCTCCCTCCCTAGATAAGTGAATGAAGTAACCTCTTTCAAATCCCTCCCGTTGATGGTGATTGGCGGTGGATGTTGCTGTTGTTGTTGTTGGTGGTGGTTGGTTATTTTCACAACCTCCGTCTTGTCTATGTTCACCTGGAATCCTGTCTTCTCTGGCTGCTTCTTCGACCAGTTTGACGGTTTTCGTTTGTAAGTCTTTTATTTTGTGTGACATCAAACATAAATCATCCGCGAAATTCAGGTCTTCTAGATTCTTCACGTCGGTGGTCCAGGATATCCCTGTCTTCTCGTTTCCCACTGTCTGACACATAATCCAGTCCACCACAATTGGGAATATCATTGGTGATAATAAGCACCCTTGTCTGACTCCTGTGTTTACTCCAAACGCCTCGCTGAGTTTTCCGTTGTGGATCACTTGACATGTGCCGTTGTCGTACAGCTGTTGAATAAGGTTGATGAATATTTGGGGTACGCCGTAGTACTCGAGTAGTTTCCAAATTACTTCGCGGTCAACGCTGTCGAAGGCCTTCTCAAAGTCTATGAAGTTGAGGTAGAGATTTGATTGCCATTCCATGCTTTGTTCGATGATAATGCGTAGAGTTGCAATTTGGTCAGAACATGATTTGCTTTTCCTGAATCCAGCTTGTTCTGGTCGGAGTTCTGTATCCAGCGCGTCCTTGATTCTCTCCAGGATGATGCGACTCATGATTTTACTTGGCGTCGACAGGAGCATGATTCCTCGCCAGTTCTTGCAGAGTCCCAGGTCGCCCTTCTTTGGTAGTTTCACAAGGTAACCTTTCCTCCAGTCAGTAGGCACCTTTCCCTCTTTCCAGATCTTTTGCAATAATGGAGTCAGCATTTCTGCCGTCGTTTCTGGGTCCGCTTTCAGTGCTTCCGGGGGTATTCCATCTGGTCCAGCTGCTTTTCCAGCTTTCAGAAGCTTGATTGCATTCATGACTTCAGTTTTCGTTGGAGGATTGGTGTCAACTTGCAGTTGTGTACGTGCTGTTGTTGGTATTTCTGGACGGGTTGTAGGTGGTGGTCGGTTCAAGAGTCCTTTGAAGTGGTCCGCCCATTGTTTAATCTGTCTTTCTTCTTTGTTAATTGGGTTCCCTTGGCTGTCTTTTATAGGTTTCACTTGTGTTGATCTCTTCCCGGATAGAGACTTGGTTATCTGATATAGTGTCCTCAGGTCCCTTTTGCCTGCTGCCTTCTCAGCTTCAGTAGCCAGGTTGTCGTAGAATTGTCTTTTGTCCTTCCTGGCACTCTTCTTCACTTCTTTGTCCAGTGCTGTGTAAGTTGAGTTCAGCGTCTCTTTCTCTTGTCCATCTTTGCATTGAATCATTTTCTCTTTCACCATTCTCCTCTCGTCTATTAGCTTCCAAGTGTCCGTTGAGAGCCATTCCTTGTCTTGTTTCTTCTTTCTTCCTAAAACCGTTGAACACGTTTCGTTGAAAATTACCTTCAGAGAGTTCCAATGGTCTTCCACGGATGATTCCTCAGTGGTGCCACGTAGTGTTTCCTGCTTTGTTCTGACAGTTGCAGTGAAAATGTCCTGTGTGATTGTGTCCTTCAGTTTTTGCGTGTTGAACTTGCATTGTGGCCTATCCCCAGGTATCCTCGAGGCTTTCAGCTTCACCTTGAAAGTCCCTTGTACTAGATAGTGGTCTGAACCCACATCTGCTCCTCTCCTCGATCTTGTGTCCAGTAGGCTCCATCTCCACTTCCTTGAGATTGAAATGAAGTCTATCTGGTTTTTGGTGTGTCCGTCTGGTGAAATCCATGTTGCCTTGTGTATATCTCTGTGTTTGAACACACTGCCACCAATCACCAAATCATTGAAGGCGCAGAATTCTGAGAAGACCCATGGTGAGTTCTCTTCCTGTATTGTCTCCTCCCAGTTTCGCATTCATGTCGCCCATCAGGATTTTGATATCACTCTTTGGGACGTTGTCCATTACTGTTTGTAGTTGACTGTAGAAATCCTCCTTCTTCTCTTGTTCTGACACGTTTGTAGGCGCGTAGCATTGAATGGTTGTAACCTTTTTTCCTTTTGAGTTGAACCTGGCTGTCATTATCCTGGAGGAGATTGGTTCCCACTGCATGAGAGCTTTAGCCGCTGTTGGTGACATCATGATGGCTACTCCTTCGGTGTGCTCGTGATTGTCCTCTGGGTGACCGGAGTAGATTATTGTCTCTCCACTTGATAGTTGGCTCCTTCCACATCCGTTCCATCTGCTATCGCAGATTCCCAACACTTCTATTCTATATCTCCTCATTTCTGCGGCTACCTGCGCAGCCTTCCCAGCTTCGTACATTGTACGAACATTCCACGTCCCCATCCTTATTTTCGCTTTCATCGAAAGAAGGCACATCGGCTGACTGCCTTCCCGAAGGCTTTCACCAGCCCGCGTCATTTCACTTCCCCGATTCCAGCGAAAAATAAGGTCACTATTTGTAATTTTAGAATTTTGAATATATTTGTGCGTTGAAGTTTTAGTAGCAATTTTGTTAAGTTTTGGGGGTGGAGTTGCTAGCACCACGCCCCAACCCTCCCTCTTTATCCGGGCTTGGGACCGGCTAGAATACTAGTGACCTAGTAATCTAGGCGAGGTTCAGAAAACCTTTAGTATAATGAATATTTTAGCTTTAACTCATATCAACTGGTGATCAAAACATGTGTGATGCAGTCCAATCGCCGCAAACTGAAACTTGATAATTTCCCCTGGAACAGCTCACTAGCGAATGACTTAACACAGGAAGTTACCTAGTGTTCGAGTGAGAAGTTATGACCAGTGGGCTTCATAAAGCCAGGTTAGACAACAATTGCTTACCGACGACACTGGTTGGCTGTTTAACTCTTCTTCTAATTGAAACTTCCTGTAATGAAATCCTGCGTTGTGCAGAAGATATCTAAACTAGAGTGAAGTAGATGTCCACTACAGTCTGATTTATTCCAATGGTCCTCCAAATGTTGTCAGTTCAAAGTTGAACTTCTTAGCAATCAAATCTGTGCAAATCAACACACGAAAAACAAGATTCTACACTCTTAAAGACTTCCAAGTAACGATTTACAGGAGTATGTTTAATTCATGTTAAATCATCAACTGCCTTGAATTAGAAAATGAACCTTTATAAACTGCTTGTGAAATCACGGCATATACTGATAAAGTTTGAGTTGCATGCAATTTTTATTGATTATCTGTGAATTAATATTCTCTGCATATTTATGCATCCATAATAATTAAAGAATGACTCCTCAAGCAGTTGCCATGACTCCTGTTGTTTTCAGTAGTTTGGGATTTGGAGACTTGACAATTTATCCGTTATTGAATAAATAACCCCACGTGACCGGCTTAAACTTACTGTTGTGGATTTCATTGATTGATGTTATGTTTTGGTTTGACCGCTAACCGCCTCTTTTCCAACCTGACCCATCCAGTGTCAGTCAGCTTACATTGTCTGTTGTCAAGGAAGGCAATGGCTAGCCTAGGCATGTCTGACACATGTCCCAATTATCACAGTCGGTGTAACTTCACAACATCATCAATTGACCAGCTCTCCTTATCCAGCACTCGACTGATGCCTGACCTCAAAGTTACTGACTCTATTATGCCACTAAGCATACATAGGAGATATAATTCAGACAGCTATGATCAAAGACAGCTAGCCGGCATTTACATGTCTTCCATTTTAGGTGGACATTTCTCATAGCTAGCCATAAAGGAGGACGGAGCAGACTGCTGAGTAGTACACACGCCATTTGGTCGACAGCCAGCCAAATATCACATTTACACCACAGATGGCGTAAGTTGACAGGTGAATGTCAAACCAGCCTCCTGTATCTGGCGTTGGCCGATACAACTCCTTAAATAAGCGAAGTGGTCAACACGCTTCACCAACCACTTCACACTTTCTTTGAGCTAGGAGTCATTGTAGGTCAGTCCCATCCTGTAGCACCATCCTGCCCAAGGTGTTCATAAGACTCTCTTCAATTTTGTCAGTGTCTTCACCCAGGAGGAGAACTATATCATCTGCATAATCTAAGTCAACGACATCACTCCCTGATGATTCCTAATCAATCTTTAAGTTAAGGTTAAGTCGATTAGTACAACTTTGATGAAATTAAACAGAAGTTATGGGAATAACTCCGACAGACGTCACTTCACCGGTTGTCACCCCTTCAAATGACAACCCTCCCTTTGTAGGCTATCACCTGGCTGCCTGCATGACTTCGAGTAGAGTGCCTTGCTGACTAGTCTACCTTTAAACTGTCAACGCATTGATTAACTCTACAACATAGAAAGACAAGGGTAATATTATGCAAAGTAAATGCTTTTCTTCGTCATATTAAAAAATGATAACAGTACAATCAGTTATCTATTTATCCATCTATCTATCTATCTACCTATCTAGCTATTCATCCATCAATCAATAAAGTGCTACTTAATTTCTAGACTTTTAGATCAAAACAATGAAAGTTATTTTTCAAGGTTACTGTGTATATGTATATATATAGCAAACGCATTATCGATCATATGACCTGATAACAATTAAGGATATCCATTGAAAGTCTGTTGATGAAATGTACACATCAATAGCAAAAAATGAACTATTTCTATAAAAGTAGTATTGCTATTATTACTATTGTGATTATTATTATATTACACTATTCTGGTACTGGTATGATTTATGGAAATTTGGTTTTATACGAATCTCTTTGTGAACAAAGCAATTATGATTGAGTATTTCATTGTTATTTAGGCGAATAATATGCGTTAAGACAATAGAATGTTTCTGTCAGAGTAATATAAGGACAAGTGATTTCGAAGTTAAAAAAAAGGAACACACTGATCGATCCTTTTTGAAGACAATTCTATTAGCTAAACGTGATTACCATTGACTGATGCATCAGAGGACATACTGACGTCATTGTTGCAGGAAATTTTGGGACAGAAGAAAAGATACCTAAAGTTTAGAAGAAAGGCTTTGTATGAACTGGTACAATATCGTGTTGTTGTCAGTGCCTGCACTCACTTTTCCAAGTGAACCGCTTGAAGTTGTTGATAAGTTTGTGTATCTGGGTAGTTGTGTGAGATTTCCAACCTCAGCTACCTCTGGCGCCATTGTGACGTTTGCCTGACTGTCAAAGGTCGGATATACAATGCTTCGGTGTGGACCGTCTTTCTCTACGCTTGTAAAATCCAGCATCTCCGAGGTGAGAATGTTCGGTGGCTGTGCGTATTCGATCATCACTGTCTCCGAAGGATTGCTTGCGTTCGACGGCATCATCGTGTGAGTAATTCTGAGGTTTGGAGACAGGTGTTTGGACACATTGGAGGTTAGCAGTCGTTGAGTGTCGTCATCTAGAAATACCAGCTTCGGTTTGCTGCTTGGACATGTGCTACGAGGAATATCATCCTAGAAGCTTCCGTACACATCTGTATTCGCTAGCCCTGGGACGAGATGGAAAAAGTGGAGAGGTGGTCGGCACATGATGTGGCTTCGCAGGATGAAGGATATTTGTGCATGGTTAGCATTGGTTTCTGCGTCACAACTTCCTGGTTGGAGTCCGAGAGATGGGTCGAATCGATGGCTTGAAAAATTATCGGAAATGGCCAAGAATCGCAATCAATGGCGAACGTGCTGGAATTTCCTTCCTTCTTCCCTTCATGATGACAGTTTTAGGAATGCTGTTCGAACTTGTTAAATATGACTGCTTTCCTTCCAGACGAAGTCCTTTATCTGTACTCCACCTATATTTTTTCAACTTTTAATCTATGTTCTTGGTGCCATATTTTACCAAGATTTTTTGTGTTGAAATAATAAGTAACATCGCCAAGGAAAATACTAAGTCGTGACATCCTGAAAATGGGTAAAAGATGTTCTGTTAGCTGCTTCAACGCGCACAGAGTGCCTTAACCTTTGTCAACCTCATTCAACAGTTGTTTGGCAACGCCTCATATCAAATGATTCACAGTGGAAAGCTCACCAGAGCCTCTGAAGTGAACAAGTGCGTACGATAAGGCTGCTTATTATCATCGATTATGTTCATGATTGAGATTGGCTGGATCACGGTTCAGACAGTTAAAGTGAGAAAAGTAGGATAATTTTCTATATTTGGCTTGTAAGGATTAGTTATGTTTTACGAGTTGATCACGGACTGATATCAGTTAGAGAACCATTGAAATCACGAATTGGTAGAAGTTAGAATTCATGAGCCATTGAACCGGGTCCCAGTGGCTGAATGGTATACGAGCTTGCCTTGTAACCGGAAGGTCCTGGGTTCGAATCCCAGTGGGTGCGTACTGCCGATGATTCCCAAACTAGGATGAAACAGCAGCTGTCCAGTACTCCCTGGTTTTCAATGGTTCTCTAACTGATATCAGTCCGTGATCAACTCGTAAAAGTAGGATAAATTACGCCAAAGAGACGACTCTAGAAGATCTGGATTTTTCAGAAGATCCATATTTAATATCACATAAAGTCTACTATCTACAGGCGAAAATCAACAAAGTGGTAGAAGAGGCGGGAAGTTAAGATAGGACTTCATGTAAACATATAGAAGACAGAGGTGACAAAGACACTCGTCCACTAAAAACTTCAATCACTAATGGCTATTGACAGGAGAAATTTTTAAGAGATCACCATTTTTACTTACCAAAGCAGCATTGTTTCGATTGCAGGAGGCATAAACGAAGATGTCAAGCCTATTTAGGATAGGGAATTCATGACAGACCTTAGTTAATCTAAAATCAGTTTGGAAATCCAGTGCAATCATCCTTAGGAACACAATTGCGATCTTTAACATTAACGTCAACTCAGCCAGCGCATCTACATGGTTCATAGATGTATCATGCCACCAGACGTACTTTGAACAGGCAGCTAAACATCTGCCGTTGCTCCATACTGGAGATCATAGGCCAGAAAGAATTAGCAACAAGAAATCATGTTGACGAACCATTGAAGAATCTTAGTGCCAATAAAATACGCCGAAGAAGACAGAGATGTGTTGGAAACTTACAAAGGAGACTGCTGAATGATATAGGGTGGCATGCGGTCGTTTGGGTGGAACTCAAACTTGAGAAAACAAGTTGAACTTGGGTCCAAGGCTGATATGGAGGTGTTCGCTAAAAGTGTTGATAAGAACCTATGGATTACGGTTGAGCCAGTTAATGAAGACTACAGATAGGGGGGTAAAATGGTGATGCGCTTAATAATAAGACAAAATATGACAGTACTCCAGTGGTTCATTGCTTTGATTTTTATAGAGAGTTTGGGGATTGCAGCGCGATGTCGTTCTACGGTCGCTTCATAATATGTTTGATCCATCTGCGCATACTTCAGCATATGTTTTTCGGTTGCTTTGCTACGCTGCCAAAGATTCTTGTTGTTGACTAATCCCTTCTGGCAGGCCATCTGTCCTGCAGCATCCAGCCAAGACAGCTGCTGAGGACAGTCCCTTAGAAATGCTTTTTGTCACACCCTAAGCCGTTGAAACACTCTGACTTGACACCATTATGCGGAATTCTTCGTGATGTGTGGAGTGGATTTTCACGATGATTTAAGAACAATGAAAATTTGTCATTATTCCCGGACTCTGAATGACTTTGAAACTCTTTATTGCCTGTAATATAATCGATGCCGCCCAACAGAGTGAGAGATACAACTTTCTTTAAGTGGTGCTTGTTGTGGTTGGTTTGGTCGCTTCATCACCTGAGTCTTCTCTCCATTCACTTGACGTTCTGTCAACCTGTAGGTTTCCACCTGACGATCTGCAAGTTTGTGCAAATAAAACACGTAATAATTACTTCCACTCTCATCGTAATCATTTAATAATCTGAACTTTATTTTTTTAAATTCACGCTTATCCTGTCTAGAATTTCAGAAAGTCAAGACAAGAGACTATGCAAAACTAAGAGGATTTATATCAAGTTTGGCAATAAGAGGCTCTCCATATCGTTTGTTTGGTCGAGGTGAGTTTTTATCATATATTTATTATTATCATATTTCAAAAAGCAGTCAGCTTTAAAATATGTATGAAACTGAAAGGTTAAATACTTATGCTACTTAACTGATTTAATAAGTAGGCGAGTGCTAAATTTCAAAAGTGGATAATCTCACGATTACTGTGACTGAGGAAGAAAATATTAGGCGTTTTGGCATCACAGAGACTGATGTTCTGCACTTGTATTCGGGAATGATAGACAAGATTTGCAGCAACAGACAACAGACAACAATCAGCATAAATGGGAGAAATCTGAAAGAAGCAGCCTCCTATATCTACTTGACTACCTACCTGGGAAGCATCGATTCCACTAGAGGTAGGCGGAACTGACCAGGATATCAAAGCGAGGATCGGGAAAGCAAGGCAAGCTTTCATTACTCTCAAGTCTGTGTGGAGATGAACAGCACTTAGGATGAAAAATAAGATGCGGATTTTCAAATCCAATGTGAAGTCAGTCAGTGCTACTACTCGGATCAGAGACTTGTAGAGTCATGAAGAACACCTCAAACAAACTACAGACCTTCATCAACAACAGTCTTCGCTCAATACCACTCAAGATCATATGGCTGTCGAGAAAAGATCAGCAAGAGGGATCTCTGGGAGCGAATCAACCCAGCAGGAACCAATTGTGCAACAAATATGCAGAAATAAATGGAGATGGATTTGAGATACTCCAAGAAACCAAACCATCAAATGACATCATACGCCAGGCCATTGCTCGAGTTGAAACCGAACGGGAAGCGGTGGGTTGGTCGTCAGCGAGAGGGTTACATGGAGGAGGAGCTCATTTGAAGTGGAGATGAAAGCATGTCGGCAGACGCGGAGGCAAATGATGAAAACGTTGGCAGGGAACCGAACAGAGTGGAGGCGTGTTGCTGAAGCCCTATGTTTCTCTAGGAATTAAAGGAAACAATAATAATAACAATTTGTTGTGAGTACTGTGACTCAGAGCAATCGTCATTATTTCTTCTTGAATTGTTTTCACTTTTTAACAGGAAATAAACTCTCGTTGGTCACTGAACCTGAAAAGAATGACATTGATGTCTATAGCTTACTGAAAAATCATTGGGCTTATTTATACTCAGCACACAGAATGACACTAGCTGTACAATCCAAAGGTTAGTCATTATTTAAAAATATGCATTTCTTATGTGAACTAATTTCAAAAAAGGCTGATAAATTAGAGATTTCACAAGAAGTCGTAACGCTTTTCAGCATAACTTAAAAATTCTGGCTCATAGTCTGCATCTAGCAACAAATGTAAGCGATTGGTTACTTATTAAACTCATGTAATCACAGAATTCCATACTACAGTACCTTCAGAAGGATCTACTGAAATATCACTAATCAAAAGTAAGCCAACCACTAAAATGGTTCAGGGTTCGATTTCTGGCCTATACAGTTTTAAATTCGCTTCGCCTGTATTCAGCCCAAGAAAGTTGGAATGTCGGACGGGAGGCGAGCAACCTCCCTCCATGAAAAACACCCCTCTCTACTGAAACTCCAGAGATCTAACCTATAATCCAATGTTCCGCCCAACTCGACAAGACAATGAGCATGATCAAACCAGAAAATCATACGGTGATCTTAGCACATTTAAACGTCGTCATATTCGTTTTCTTGTTGCTAAGTAAAGTAACTATGCAGTGACTGTTTAAAACTGGCACCTGTAATCACTTTCATAGATGAAAATCTGTTTCTGATATTGAATGGAAGCCGATTGAAATAATGGACTGCTGTACAGCTGTTTCATTATAGTCTACGACTGCCCCACAGAACTCAACCATGACTTCGAATCCGAGACCTAACATGTACAAGGCCGAGCTTGTCGGCCATTCCCCCATCTGTGCCGAAATTCAATGACCTACCTGCTTTAACTTCTGTGTGACCATCAACCAATATCATCAGCAAATATCTGCACTCAAATACATTCCTGTGGATTCCTGTGTTTGGAGTTCAAGCGGGAAATTGTGACCAATGAGGCACACCAGGTCGTGTGTAAGGACAAGTACTCACCATGACATTGGATGGCGATCATAGCATATATATATCATGAATCAACAGAAGCCAGAATTACTGACTCTTCGGACCCCTGCTCAGGTGACTGAATGACGGACAACGAAACTGGCTCCGTATCCTGAAGGCTCTAGTTTCTGTCTTCAGTGGAATTGTGGCCACATACTACTGACGAATTAGCTGTCCAGTACTCCCAGTGTATGATCACTAAAAGTGGGATACAAAATTCCACCTTCACACGGTACATTCCCCAGACTAGCTGTTTGACCCAGCTGTACTGTGATATCCAAGTCTCTGCTTTATCTTCAAGTATGAAACATCACATCAATATCACGCGAAGAATTTAAGGATATTGCTCATAGTCTAGACAATATGCAAGGGATATTTTCCACCTAAGTTGGGGATCCAGGTATGATTTTGCGGTCAACGCACTTCCAAATTTCACTCAGATAGTGTAGAAAATTCAGAAAACTGCGAAGACTTGGCGTAGGGATGGTAATCTCTTTCTCTAAGTAAAAACAAAACTATCGCTGATTAAAATTCAAAATGCTTGAAACTCCCCATATTCCGCGTGGTAGGCAAGGAACAATAAAGAAAAGAAAACGTATCCAAGAAACGTTGGAGTTATTCAGCCAGGGTATTAGGCCGGAATGGGTGAAGAGTGGTGAGGTTTTGGCTTGTAAAGTTAAGGTCCTCGGTTGGACCTCATGCAGGGTGATGAGGACCTGTCACTGAAGAGTCTCAGCCAAGTGAAGAGCAACTGCAAATTCCTTTTCACTTTTCTTTAATCATAGGGAGTAATAAAAAGACAGTTGCAGAGAAGAAAATTTTCGTTTCGACGAAGTCTTCAACTAGGTAGCTGTACATTCGTGTATTTATAATAAATCGGTGAGAAAGGTTCAGAATAATGTCCGATCAGGGGTCAAATTAATAAAATTACATTTAGGAATTAAAATGCCATAATAAAATGGGGGGACGAATGGATAAAACTCAAACATAGTAGCATCATAGTTACTGAGAAGATTGATACTGATTGTGCAATTAGGGGTTAGAAATGTAAAAATAACAAAAATAGACAGGAAGTTTGGATATGAAAATATGGTAGTTTAAATAGCGGTTAAGAAGAGCCTAAAAATAACATGAATAAACAGGAAGTTTGGATAAGAAAGGTAATGGGATGGTCATTACTAAAAGAATTATCTGTTTATGATGGTGATAACAGGGACAAGGGTTGGACGTACTTCTTTTGGATACAAAGCGTGGGTTTGAGCTTTTGGATAGCTAGTGCCTCGGCTATACCCAGATGTCTTAATTTTACTCTCTTTGATAGTTAAAACAATTAGTCCCTTTGATAAACTTCCTAATTAGGCATTAAGAAGATAAATTTCGCGTGATGATATCATTTCGTAGTTTCTTTACAACCGCTTTACAACTAACATGGTTAAAAATAATAAAATAGGTTTCATCGAATCTTGCATATGATTTTGAAGGATTTTTGAATTGAGTAGATGTTCTGTCACTGAACTATAAACACGTTTTAGTTCTCCTTTTACTAGCCTGGCTGGATTGTGTACACCAGCGCTTTTTTTCAAGTTGGCACATGGTACGGCCGCTGTGTTCACCTTCAAACAAGCAAGTAAAGTGGAATATGCACGTCCAAGTGGCCTAATGCGACAGATTGCCTTTCGCGTTCTGGCTGAACAGTTTCTTGCAGGATAATGTCAGACGCAGGCTTGTGAAGAAGTAGGTTTTCCTCAGAGATTTGCAGAGGCGTTTACGAATGATTTCTGCTTCAATGTCACCTTTGAATTCTAGAATAAGCAGGAGTATCTTCTTCAGGACGGTTTGGACTTGTTCGGAAATTTTCTTTAATTTTAGATTCTTGTCTATGAACTTGGTCGGAAAACCCTCTTTTCCATCAAGGTTCCTCGGAGATTACGTAGTTCTGCGTCAATCAGTTCCTCGCTGCATATCCTCCGAATTCTCGAGAAAAGAGTGCAAATAAGTTTCCTCCTTCTGCTTAGGGGCACGAAGCTTTGAAAGTTGATGAACTGAAACCGTCTTTCTAGTATTCGCTATGATCGAATTTGTATATTCCATGATATCCTAAAATCCTCTTAATGACAGCGAATCTTTAAAAAATCAAGAAGGAATTTCTAGTTTGAGGTCACCTATAAAACTTAGTACTTGTCATAGACACTGAAAATGTAAATAAAGGATTGGACTATTTTTTGAATGAAGGTATAATCTATTTTATCCAAGATATCGATGATGCCTTCTGTTGCACATGTTCATTTTGTTCTCTTTTAAAATTACCAGATTCATTGAACACACTGGAACGAATTGTTCGAGAGAAGTTCTCTAACATTCCTATAAAGTTTGTAAATTTTTTTTCTTGGAATTTCATATTTTTGTTCTTTTGGTAGCAGTTTCACACTACAATTTCCAAGTTGTGCAGATTATAAACGTGACAACCTTTTAATCAAGTCTAATCAATTGCCCCTCTAAGTTTCTATCATCTTTTGTTGTATTCAAATTACGAAATACACTTCGGTGATTAAGTGTTGGAATACTCGCCAATTTCTGATATCATCCGACTTTCGATTCCAAGCCAACCCACTCCCTAATCGTGCTTAGTCTGGCAGTAAGCTGGGTAAAGAGGAATGGTTATGTTTTACGAGTTGATCACGGACTGATATCAGTTAGAGAACCATTGAAAACCAGGGAGTACTGGACAGCTGCTGTTTCATCCTAGTTTGGGAATCATCGGCAGTACACACCCACTGGGATTCGAACCCAGGACCTTCCGGTTACAAGGCAAGCTCGTTGGGGTCGTGCTAAAATCACGAATCGGTAGAAGTTAGAATTTATGAGCCATTGAATCGGGTCCCAGTGGCTGAATGGTAGACGCGCTTGCCTTGTAACCGGAAGGTCCTGGGTTCGAATCCCAGTGGGTGCGTACTGCCGATGATTCCCAAACTAGGATGAGACAGCAGCTGTCCAGTACTCCCTGGTTTTCAATGGTTCTCTAACTGATATCAGTCCGTGATCAACTCGTAAAGAGGAATGATTAGAAGTGAGACTAGTATCCTCATCTCGTATAAAACTCAAGTTTAAAGCCCAGGGTTCCACAAGGAACTAAAAGCAATAAAAGACCGTGTTGTGAGTTGTAAGTATCTTACAGTAAAAATTAACAAAATGGCATGATATCCACGCAGATAAAGAAATATGTGTTGTGATACGTCTATTCAGATCTCGAATAAGGCAGGTGCTTCACCAACACGCAGCTGATAAAAATGAACAAAGCAGGCATCTTAAATACTTCAAACGTTTATTATTTTACTAATTTAAGTACAAATTTGGTATATTTGGCTCAGCAAAACATGTGGTCAAAAAATCTCATAGTTCGTGGGAGAGAACTTCGATACTTCCTGAACATCTGAATGAAAGCAGTTTGCTGTCCTAATAAGCCTCTTCCATTCAGTCTTTGACCTTAAGTAGGCTCCACAAGGCAAAAAAGTAACATAAGAAGCTACGATCCGATGTTTGATGTGATCAAACAACAGTTTCAAACGTCATTTAATCTTTTCAGGTTCTGAGGCTCACGTCCACCATAAATTTGAAATCAGGATTTGCCAGCTCTCCTTGACATAACAGTTTGTCTCATAAACCAGTTTTAAGTGAGTTTCCACGTTTTTGAGGGAAAAACCTCCGCCATATGAAAGCAATGAATTAAGACATACATAACGGAGTCTTTGAGTTCATGGCTTTGATGAGAGCATTTTGAAATGAAATTCAAAATCGGCCCACCCTTGGTAATATCAGATGGTTGATGGGAACAATACTTCGGTACCAACTTAATAAATCATAATAGCTGGCCTGCTTTTTGTTCTTATGACAGAATACTTCTGAGCGTTTTGTTAGAAAGTCAAATGTAAAGTACCCACACTTACGCCTAATAATAATAATTACTAACGTTATCATTGAGAAGGCCTTCGATAGCGTCGACCGCGAAGTAATTTGGAAACTACTTGAGTACTACGGCGTACCCCAAATATTCATCAACCTTATTCAACAACTGTACGACAACGGCACATGTCAAGTGATCCACAACGGAAAACTCAGCGAGGCGTTTGGAGTAAACACAGGAGTCAGACAAGGGTGCTTATTATCACCAATGATATTCCTAATTGTGGTGGACTGGATTATGTGTCAGACAGTGGGAAACGAGAAGACAGGGATATCCTGGACCACCGACGTGAAGAATCTAGAAGACCTGAATTTCGCGGATGATTTATGTTTGATGTCACACAAAATAAAAGATTTACAAGCGAAAACCGTCAAACTGGTCGAAGAAGCAGCCAGAGAAGACAGGATTCCAGGTGAACATAGACACGACGGAGGTTGTGAAAATAACCAACCAACAACAACAACAACAGCAACATCCACAGCCAATCACCATCAACGGGAGGGATTTGAAAGAGGTTACTTCATTCACTTATCTAGGGAGGGAGCATTGTCTCAACTACAGGAGGAACGGAAGAGTATGTCAAATCGAGAGTCGGGAAGACGAGAAACACATTCATCAACCTGAAACCAATCTGGAAATCTTCGTCACTCACCATCAACAACAAAATTCGGATTTTCAATACAAACGTCAAGTCAGTCAGTTTTTCCATACGGATCAGAATCTTGGCGGGTCACAAAGGGTATTTTCAACAGCCTGTTGCAAACCTTTATCAACAACTGTCTTCGCTCTATACTGAAGATCAGATGGCCGGACAGAATCACCAACAAGAAACTATGGGAACAAACGAAACAGGAACCAATCGCCCAACAAATATGCAGGAGGAAGTGGAGATGGATTGGACACTCGCTGAGGAGGCCGTTGGGTTACATCGCGCGTCAGGCCAGTGCTCGAGTGGAACCCGAAAGGGAAGCGGCGAGTGGGGCGTCAGTGCAAGGGTGACATGGAGGAGATCGTGTGAGGAGGAGATGAAACAGTATGGAATAACATGGACGCAAGTGAAAAGAACAGCAGAAGACAGAAGCAATTGGAGACGTGCAGTTGAAGCCCTATGTTCCACTAGGAACCCAAGGGAACAATAATAATAATGTTATCGTTATTTTGCTGATAGTAATGAAACCACATTATACTTCTATTCTTGTGTTTAGTCGTTCTGTCAATCTGGATATGACACGGTATGCAAACAGTTTCGATTCTCCAGAATTCTTAAGACTTTATCATGGTAAGTTGGTGTAATGAGTTTTTGAATTTGGAACACATTTATTGATTCAAAGAAACGTTCTGCAGGACCATCAAGCTCTTATTTCATTCAAAATATCGGAAAAGACAGATACCCATTCTCACAGTAGAATTTTGCTTAAATGCACTAAGTTTATATTATTTTTAATTGATGAAAAATGATGAAATTAAATGAGGAGCGTAGAACATCTGAAGAAAGCTACTGGAATGCAAAACACTTGAGGTTCTGAAGTCGATTTCAGCAATAATTTCATATACCCACTGATTCCCGTGTCATCTTGATATTGAGACATTTGGATAGACACAAACTATTTAACCGATTTGATTATTGAACATGAGAATTCAGGAGGCACACAATTTAAATATAGTTATCATAGTACCTGAATACTTAAAAGGCTCATAAAAAATTAATTTCAAGATACTTACAGGCTTGTCTATGCCTATTCATCATTTCATTACAGATTGTGGTGGCATTCAAACCCCACACATACTCAATTAGAAACAAGCTTTGTCGGTTAAAGGATCAATCCTGTGAAGCCTTTAAAACAAAACAATTTAGTTTATCTAATACCCTGCTGGAATGATTGTCAGTGAGGTCGAATACATAGGTCAAACTAGTAGAACACGGGCAGTCACACTAGCTGAATATAAAAACTTAGCAAAACCTAGATTGGTTAATCCAAATAAGATAAGAGATCTAGAGAATAGTTCAGCTATAGCACTACATACAGTTACACACAATAGGATGGGATAGGATGACAGTTTTAAAATCTAATGTCACATGGTTGAGGAAGAGATTGATAACTGACTGAAGCTTTGTTTATCGAATCAACTGAGGAGAATACGTGTAATGGGAATGTTTCAACACCTCTCCAGCCGGATATCTGGAAAATTCTACTCCCCCTTCGAAGACAAATATGAGAGAACAATACAAACTTTAAAACTCAAGTTTCGAAATCGTGTGATTAAAATTGATATGATTATGAAAAATAAATTTTATTCGAAACGTCATCCAGTAAATAATACTGTTTTACTCTGTGATACATCGAATAAACCAAATAATATGGAATAAGTTACTGCCACAAATCCCAAATTTTACACATATATTAGATTGTGGTTACTTAAACGAGTGGTTGAATATTGTTAAAAGTTATATCCACGGTTATTCCGACATACCCTATCGACCAGAAATGAGCTTCGTATAGTGTACATTTACCTACTTCACCCCAGAATCCCCCAAACTACTGCGTCGGTTAGAGAATCATTGAAAACCAGAGGCGTGAACCAGGCACCATTTTTCCGTCTTATTTGGGACTGTTCAATATTATGCACACACCACCCAGTCAGGGTTCCAACTTATAGACTTCATGTTACTAGGATAAGCACACTGACCATTCATCTGTCTCGGTTAAGATCAAAACGTCAATGAATTCCAACCTCTACAGTTTGGTGACTTTAGGACAACCTCCAGCCAACGTCTTTAGCAACGCCGTAACGTAACCGGGAAGCTGTGTTTTCTAACCCTTGCGAAGTCGAGGAAGCATCCTGTTGAACAGTTCCAAACTAGGACGAAACAGTTGCCCAATACTTCCTAGCTTCTATGGTTATTTAATTGATATCAGTCCGAGATCAAACTTGAAAGGAATTAAATCCCTGTAAACTAATCCTTTATAAATACTAAATTATAATTATTAGAATAAAATAAGACCTATTTTAATTAGCATGTTTGTTTTTTAGTCGACAGTACTCGAAATAAGGAACAACTACGTATGGTTTGGGCTGTTCCCAGTGTCTATTCATTATACAAGTAAGTGGAAATTTTGAAAGTGTACTTACTCCATTTTGAATGTTGATTTAATGGTTACATGCTCGTCAAACTCGAGAGGAAGCTTGAGATTCGATTACTGGCTGACGCATCCTGATTTTCTAGCCTAGCTGACTAGTCAGTAATAAGCCTGGAAAAGATTGCGATGGTTGGACGTGAGGCTAGCAACTCGACACTGTAAAAAATGCAATTGATTGAGGTACTTTTTGAGCGTGTATCTAGTTTCGTCAATTTTGCGTTATTTAAGCTGTAAATAGAACACTATGTTTTCATCTCTGGAGATTTGCTTTTTCTAAATATTGTGGAAATATCCTATCGTGTAATCGTTCCTAGTGTATTGTACAAGTGTATTCTATTTTGAGTAAATCGTGTTCGTCAACGTCAATATGCGTCCTCTCCTAATCACTTCCTACAATTAAATACTTATTTCGACCAGACACCCAGCAGAGACTAACGTCATGTGTCTAGTCCTTGATGTCTGTGTAGACTGAATTCCATCATTCAGGTTTGCAATGTGACCAGCGTTTTCCAAGACTTCTTGTTAATTGTTGGACGTGACTGGCCAGAAGGCTTTTTTGTTACTGGTTAGCAAGGCGTATCTGAGTCCACCATGATGTATAAGCCGCAAGCATACTGGCTACATCGCAGACATAACTGATAGAATTCAGACCGCACCAAGTAAATGACTAGATGCATCACACTAGTTACCACCTAACTTGTCCAATCAAAATATTTATTACAGCTCTACAAGAGGCCAATCATGGGCCTAAATAGATCTCTGGTATCTTCCTCAAGCTGCAGCAATTGGCAACCTAGGTCCAAATCTCACAAAAGAGATAAGTTCCTACAAGATTGCAGACAAGTCCTGCTGACTGATGAGTTCCAACACGCTCTAAGCCTGGGGCAAGCAAGGTTTCCTGCCGATTACTTCGTTATTATCGGAGAACAACTCAATATATCCTTGCTATTATGATCTGAGAATTCTATATACCATTCCTACCTTTCAAGTTCATTTTTCTAAAAATCAATAAAAATCATTTAATTCAATTTAGATTTTCCCGTCGACTGAGTGGACCGAAGTGCTCGGCCTCAGATTGACATGTCAGCTTCTTTTGCTTCGAAGATGTCTGGTCATGTAACGTGTAGTTAACTAGTGGGTGGTGACTAGCAGTGGAATCCAAGATGCACATTTCGTCCTATTTGGGACTCGCCAGCTAACTGAATGTACCTGGATTCCCCAGGGATTGATGGTGACTATGAGCACTGGGTTCGAGACCCAGTTAGACGAAATGCGTATCCTGGGTTCCACTGCCAGGGAATACATAAAAATTATCATCTTTTTACCTTGCATCTAAACTGTAACTGAAATAATGGACATCATATGTAAAAAGTTTGATACTCAACAGTCAGCTTAAGAGATGCCGTGCTACTCTTTTCACCCTTAGAGCCACACTGTAATGCTTAACCAGCTCTCCTGTCGGTTTGAATACATAGTCGTGTAATGTTGTATTTAGGCGACTCATTCCAAACAGTCTGATTACAACACCTTTACTTGTCATAGAAATTTCTCTGGAAACAAACATGTGTTAATGAGTAAGAGAATAGACACAGGTCAAATTAAAACGCAATACTGAAGGGCATCGTGCTAATGGAAATCACAAAATCAAAGAACAGAGTTTATAGTGCGTCTGTCTTGGTATCAAAACAAAGTTTACAAAGGAGAGTTTAACATGGTGATGAATTGTTTTTGAACACATAAGGGTAGTTTAAACTTAACTCTAATCACTAAGAATTCCACAAACTTCAGGATACTTACTAAATACGTTTTGTGGATACGTTTAAAAGGCGTGTAAACATCAGTTTCATCCCATTTATGAGTAATTTGTTTCACAATAGAACAGCTGGGTAGTCTGTTTTCACAAGTGATAGGTTTGATTGGCTTCGATTTGTATACTTGACCACATTCATTTTTGAATTGGTAGGTATAGTGGGATGTGACACTATTTTCTGAATATATGATTATCACAAAATAACTTCTGAAAGATACGAGAACTTATTCTCATGGCTGTAACGCGAATATTTGGCGTCCATTAGACCAGCTTTAATATGCCAATATCCAATATATCCAATATCCAATATCGTTTTTACGAACCACTACAAACGAATTTGATTCTTTTGTGCTCGCCTCTTGATTGTGAGGTAGAGTTTCCTGATCTTCGGTAAACGTCTGCGTAGCATGTCCCGCCACTCGACTGCCGTAGCTTTGGTTGACTCCAAAAGGAGTAGTGCAGGGATTAATTATATGTGGTTTGTAGTATGAAGTGTTTTAAGACTGTTACTACTGTGAATGGAGTTGATCCTTTCACCAGTTGGTCCTTCGGTATCGTAGTCAATAGAAAAGAGATAATAATAATAGATATAATTAGTGAAGGTATTCAGACTAACAGACAGAAAAACAGTAAGAAAACGTAACAACAGTCAGTCAACCGGTATATATATATATATATATATACCGATAATAATGATAATAATAATAGGTGTAGTTAAAGCTGTCAGGAGAGTAAGACGGAAGAGAATGTAAGGAAGTAAAACGACCAGTTTAACTCTCTACCTTTGAATGGTGTATGCGATTTTAAGGGTATAGGCCATTTGGATGCAGTCCTTGTGTCGCTGCATGGTTGTTCAGCCTTAGCTTAAATGCGTCCATAGATGATGCCAAAGCTACATCTGCCGTTAAGGAATTCCAGGGACGGCAAACCCGCAGGGAAAAGAAGTGGGAGCGCACCCGTGTCCTTGCCCTCTGATGAGCTATCATTCTAGGATTTCCACGAGGAAACCTATACCTACTCAGCTTTGTTTGGGTGATTCTGATCATTTGTTATTTTGTAGGCAGTAATTAAATCCCCCCTAAGACGACGGTAACTAAGTGTGAATAGGCCTTATTTCTTCAGCCTTTCATCATATGGTTTATTTCGGAGACCAACCACTCCTTTTGTTGCCCGTCGTTGGACTCTTTCCAAGAGGTTGGCGTCTCTTCTAAGCATTGGGGGTGCAATGATATTATGCACTTCAAGATGCCGTCTGACGTATGTTTTATACAACTTTAGAAAGAGCTCAGAAGTGAGTGCACCTAATTGTCTATGTGTAAAGTGCATGACCGCATATGCCCTCGCTACACCCTTCGTGTAATTTACGCTTGTGTCCATTTTCTCCGTTAGAACTAGACCTAAGTCACGTTCCGACGTTGAGCAGGATAAGCTTTCGTTGCACAGGGTATAACTTGTATTCTGCAGTCTACAGGTGCGTAACTTCACTACTTTGCACTTTTTCAGGTTGAAAGTCATGCCACTGGCCACCGCTCAGTCTTCCAGAAGCCTTAGATCTGCCTGCAGTCTATCTGAGTCCTCTGGAAACTTTATCGCCCTCCATATCTTCACGTCATCAGCGTATAGAAGAGTCGAGCATCTTAAACGGCATGGTAGATCATTGATAAAAATCAAGAACATCAGTGGTCCCAGGATAGAACCCTGCGACACTCCTGATGACGAGCTGTGCCAAGATGATCGGACTCGATTGACCTTGGTGCAAAATTGCCTTTCAGTTGGGTAGTCCTTCAACCGTGACAGAAGTGGTTTACCTAAACCTACCTGGCTTATTTTGTGTAGGAGAAGGTCATGGTGAACAGTGTCAAATGCCTTCTCAAAGTCTAGAAAGGTCACATGGAAGGAACATTCATATCCCAGCATGATGTCCAGTCGTCCAAAGCTGATAATAAGTTAGTGACGCAGGATCTGCCTTTCCTGAAACCGTGTTGGGCTTCATGGAGTATTTTAGACCTATCGAGATATTCCCTGATGTGATCATCAGTAATACTTTCCAGTGCTTTCGATACCACTGGGAGTAGAGCTATATATATGCTTCATATTCTCAATCATTCGAACCTTATCTGCGTACAGAGTCTTTCTATCTGCAGCGTTCAATCTTTGCCTAAGTCAGAAGGTGCTATAATTGTTACTTAAGGGCAGTGAGTTGAAGAATGGGTCTTGGTGTTCTGACCATTTTGTGTCTATCTATGAACCTTTGTGGATAATAATTATCCAGAAGAGTTCCCGTCAGTTTTATTTCCTCACCTTCAAGTGTATCCTCTGTGCGCATAGAGGCACCTCATCGGGGTCTTTTTGTAGTTTTTACAAGTAAAGCTGTGGTAGTCAAGATAATATCCTCTCCAGGTCCGTTTTCTGCACATAGATCTCTGTACTAATCCTTCCACCGCTGATAATTGTTTTGTCGAAATGCATGAAGGGAAGTAGTTGTTTCAAACTCTCAATATCGTTATCAGTGTGATTTTATACAAGATCAAATAAACAAGCTTTACATGTGTGTATATATAAGCGTATAAACATATCTGTATATATGTTTCTTAATATATGCTTGTTATATGCATTTTAGATCGAATCCTGTCGCTGTTCTTGCCTACTTTTTGAGTGACAAACATCCTTATGGCCTTGAAAATTATCTGAAAAATAAGTAAGTAAAATAACATATCTTACAATCATGTTGCTTAACGAAATAGCAGAAGGATTTACGTAAGATACCTTATTATCCGAGTGAAACGTAGGGATTCAGTCTTTTTCAAATGGCTGTAAGATTGTCCATAAGTCTCCATCTTCTCGATGTCAAAACTCGTGATCAAAACTAACTGGTCATTTCCATTCGAGTTCCAAAAGAGGATCTGCTCTGCTCTGTGTCAGTCGACGGTCGCCTCAGCATAAGTCCCAGTCGCCTTCATCTCCTCTGGTTCTTGATTAGTTCATTATCTGCTATAGTTCCTTACAGCTTAAGTTTTTGCCTGGTCATGTGATTGTTCTTCACCAAGGAGCAAAGGTAGCTGTTGATGAAAGTCCGCAACTCACTCTACAAGTCTTTGAACCCTATTGGAGCAATAAATCATTTGAAATTAGTATTTGAACTCTGAACTTTATTCTTTATTCATGATGCAGCAGACGTTCACACTGATTTCAGAGTCATGGACGCCTATCTTTCCTCCCTCTCTTATCCTGACTGGCTGAAACTTTTTCATCCGTTGCGCCTGTAATTGAAATGATGATTCCTAAATAAGTGAAGGAAGTGACCTCATCCATGCTTCTTCCTTTGATAATGATGGATATCTGAATGTGACCTCTGTCTTGTCCATGTTCACTTGAAGTCTTGTCTTCCCTGTCTGATTCGTTTGCCAGTTTGTTGGTTTTTACGTGAAAGTCTTCGAATTTAATGCTGCATTAGGCATAAATTATCCTTAAGGTCCAAACTTTCTACAGTTTTCCTATTTTTCCAGACTATTCTCCACAGTCTTTATCATGGTACAACCCATTATCATCAAGAATGTCATCAGTTTTATTAAGCAGCCTTGCCATACTTCCATCTTCATTTCAAAGGCTTCGTTGAGTCTTCTGCTGTGGACCACTCGACATACAGAGCGTCTCCATATAACTTGGAAATGTAATTAATAATGGTTCAACTAATATTAGTAGTATGCTGTCACCATCAATGAATGTCAACTGATGACCATTTGTTTCACACCCTAGTCTTAATGACCAGTACACAGAAAGTAAAACATCATTTGTGACAACATACAGGCTATCACACATGAATAGTCCTTTATAGTTAAGCATTTACTTTTGACTCCGACTCAATGAAGGGACGTTTTTCCTGAAACTGAAGTCACCTCTTGTCTAAGAGTACTAACAAGTTTGAAGTTTTGATCGAAGACTTAAAACCAACTGCCTCCTCCTAGATACACTATCTGTCATAATATACGTAAGTGTTAGATATGGTGGAGAAGATTTGTAGTTCAGTTGGATGATTTTGATGTAGTTGTGTTCCATGAGCTGGACGGATGGTTTATTTGCCCTACTAGGCAACATCTTCAGAGAAAACTTCAGGTTGAAGTGAGCTTATAGATTTCTCCACGAATTTATAAGTCATTTCTTCAGTTGACCCTGAACGTGACTCTTCGGTTGTTGCTGTTGTGTGTTTTCACACCTTCTAGGCTATTTGTATTGGAACTGATTGTTTCCTTAGCGTGAAGTTTGACCCTTTGTGTGTGAGATTTTCTTCTTATCGATTGACAATTTTTTCTATCTCGATGCTGGATAAAACTCACAACTTAATAAACAACGTCTTCAACGACAACAAATTCACAAGTCATGAAGATGAATCCAAGAACAAAATCCCATTTTTAGATGTCTTAGTCTATCCAAAACCACAGTAGAATTAAAAACTCACGTTTGATACTTAATTACAACAACTACAGTCCAATAACACACAAATAGGGATTGCATACAAACACTATTCAAGAGGGCCAGGACTTGTTACAGCACTCCTACCCTAAGGAAAATTGAAGAAAGATATCTCATGGAAGTCTTCCAAATGAATGGATATCAACGGAATTTCATCAAAAGACATCTGCCAACCTATCAAATCAAAGGACCCCAAAGAAAGCATTAGAAAATTACCCTATCATATAGATGGGATATTTCAGAAATCACTGCAAGACTCTTCAAACCTCTAGGAACTGACGTCGCACACAAATCAACAAAATCACCTAACTCAGCTTCTATGTCATTCAAAAGACTCAACAACGAAAGAAGATAAAATCAACATTAAAAAACATACGTGTTTCCTGGCTTGGATGAATTTCGGTATTCTAGTCTTTATCGTGTGCGTAGCACATATATATTAGTGCATTTCTTTAGGACAAGTGTATCCGACATCAGTAACTGGATCACTGGAAAACCAAGAAGTACTAAACTGCTAGCATGTCCATATTTGCAGTTCCTCAACAGTACATACCCTTCGGGATTTGAACCTAAGACCTGTCCGTTACAAGGAAAGCACGCAGACTACTGAGCAGCCAGGAATCAATTCACTGGTCTATAAATTCTAACAGTCACCAATCCATGGCATACATAGCACTAGTGCCAACACCTATTACTGGCTAGTAACTACCCTCTTGCAATGATAGCAGACACGAGACATGGTAGCGGATTGTTTATTAAGAATATAACAGACACACATAGGGACATTATGTAAATCCTATACTGAAAACGTCATTTGCACAGATTTCTCATGTTGTAATACTTCTGCTCCCTCCGTATTAAGTCTGATCGCCTACTTTTGGTGTATCCCACTTTCTACCACAATGCTGGTTCATTTGTCCTCTCTAACGGTAAATCTGTGTCTCCCCTATTTGATATTTTGTGTCGACTAACGTCTCTATCTATACTACTGATAAGTATTGTCAGTAGCACACACCACGGTTATATTAGTAGTAGTAGTGTGGGGGTGTGTTCTAGAAAGTGTGTACCACACAGTTCAATATAGTATTCGCAACAGAATACACTCTCAAACACTTGTCAGAGAATATAAACCTGTGTCTATATAAATAGCCGTTTGATCAATTGAAAATATACCTTAACTTCCATGTCTCGCCTTCTGCTGTTGCATGTTGGTGTCACTATCTGCCAACAATTACGAAGCTTAGGCTGTCGACCATCTGGCAGGACTTCGAGGCTCTTGCGCAGTTGAAAGGCATTCAAGAGCCGCCAGTGATGAGGCTGTTACTTAGAATGCTTCTGGGAGGTCGATTGACGGAAGCCTATAATAGTGTGAGGCGAAACACCGGCAACTTTGAGCGACAATCATGTAAAACTGCCTGCAAGGTGGGAAGGACCATACGTGATTACCATGAGACGAGGTCAGGTATATACTATCAGAAATACAAACACAGAGGAGCTGGTGAACGTTAGGGAGCTCCAGAAGCCAATACTGCAAGACAAGCAAACAAAGCCGCCAGCACCAGAGAAAATCGAACCGACTTCAGTCGAAAGTGTCTGACGAGGAGACGAGTGTTTTGGTGGGATACAGACAACGTGTTGCGAGGGTATATTATTCTCACGTATTCCCAAAGTCAGTACTGTGTAAGCAACAGAATAATATGTATATTTGAACATTCTATTTCACGTCGTTTGGTGTAAGCCTTAATCACACGCTCAGTGACTGGTTAGAGAATATAAACTGAATACATAAAAATAACGGTTCGGTCAATTGAAAGTATGCCCTGACTTCCGTGTCTTGCCTTCTGTTCTTACAGTATTAGTCATAACAGTATTACGAAAGAAACACCCACCAATCCAAATATTAATTCAAAGATAATTTGCTACAGACACGTTTTTATAAGTAACGTTTCTTATTTCTTCAAAGTTTGTTATGTTTCTATGACAACAATTTGATGTGATAATCAATCACTTGTCAGTCTTTGATATTACCGCATACACACACGCACACAAGAACAGCTGCTGTCTATATACATGCTATTCGATTGACATCAACTCCATTGTTTCAAACCAAAAAGCTTTCAAGGGGTGCTCGAATTGTTTTCATTCTTCGAGTTGAATAAATTTATGTCAATTGAAATTCGCCCGTTTCTTTTTATCCTGTCATGGTGTATTTTGACTAAACAAATCAGTTTATATATCTGTAATAATATTGAACATCTTGATCACATGTTGACTGGTGATGAAGGCGGAATTCAAAGAATTTTGGATACATTTAATTAAAATTATAATAAAGTAATAATAATGATAATAATAAATAGAATAAATTATACGTTTATATTCGTCTTTATCTTTAGTCATCTGGCGACTGAGGTGAAATGTGAATTTTCAGCAATGTCAGATTTTGAAAATTCAACCATTTGTGCTTTAATTACAATCTGTATTGATTTAAAAGGCACACGAAGTGATTTGCTCAAAGTGAGTCTTCTTATGTTGTTGTTTTTTTTAGAAATTTTATTCGATTTTATGGTTTTATTAGTTCACTACTATTGTAGGTAATTATTTAGTGATGAGGTTCGGTGGTGTTCCAGGGTTCGACTCCAGACCAATGAATTCTTCTCCTCGCTGGCAGTAGGCCCTGTATAGAGAGATGGTTGAGTTATCAATCGCACTCCCTAAAAGTGACGTCATCTGTGTTGTTAGAAACGCAAAAAAATGATTATGGCTTAGATGGTTCACATTATCACGTATTAACTTGAAGTTACTTGTTTGATAATGATTAGAACTTGAATCTAGGCAGTGCGTTTCCATCCTGTTAAGGGCATCTGTTTTCTTAAAAATACTAGCTCAGGTTCCTAGTGGAACGTAGAGTTTCAGTATCACATCTGCGTTTTACTTTCTTCTTTGCAGCCGTCTTTAACTGGCTCTCATAATCTCCTCATAGACTCTGCTGCATGTAACTCTTCGGCTCAAGCCCAATTCACCCCTTCTGATTTGGATTCTCCTCAAACGCCTTGTGCGTGTGTTTTCTGGTCCGTCTCCATTTCGTTCTGCATATTTGTTGCGCAATATGTTCCTGAGTAGTTCGTTCCAAGAACTCCTTTCTGTCTAATCGTGTGGTCTTCAGAAATTAACCAGTGAAGACATGTGTTGACTAAAGTCTGAAGCCTTTTCGAAACGCTTGTCGTGAAATACCAAGTCTGTAACCTTTATAGATGCACTGACTGACTAGATGTTGGCGTTTCAAACCTAAATCTGGTTTTTTTACGCTTAGTTCAGTGGATATCCGGACTGATTTTAGAGTGATGAGGATCACCTGGACTTTTCGATGTTGACTGGCTTTGATATTTTCATCCATGCCGTCCACCTGTAGTTGAAGGGATGGCTATAATAATAATAATGATTTTCTTTATTCCAAAACAGTACTTCTGATACAGAATGGAATTCCCAGCATTTCATTACAGTATTGCAACCAGTTAGTACATTAATAATAAATAAAATTCTACATAGATTAAGGGTAATCTCAGTTAGTTTGATAACAGCATATTGGCATGTCGGTAGCGAAGGCGTTTGGAAAGTAGGTGCTAGCATATTTACTGGCGTAAGCCGTAACAAAAGGTCGAGATATACAGAGTGTGAAAGAACGAGGAAGAATTTTTTAAATGGTGTTTGTAGAGAAGAAAGAAAGAAAGCAGCACACAAACAGAAAAAGGAGGGAGAGAAAAGGAAAAGAAAGAAAGAAAACGTTGTACCTATAAATGATATGAGTTGGAAAGACGAGATCCAGTTGTTCTAGTGACTATTTAATAAGTTATAGGTATCATGCCTAATGCTTTCTTTATTGTACAGAACACGAGCTAAGTAGGGTATGGGTGAGTTTTTGTACTTGCTAGTACGCGCACATAGTTTTCTATATAGGCTTCTGGTTTTGTCTGATGAAATACAAGGGGAGAGTTGTGAATGAAGAGGGTGTATGCAGACTAAATAAGTGGAAAAAGTGATTTTTTGGACTTTCTGCCATCGACAGTGGTTAGTGTTTCTCGTTGTTGTTAGCTGGTTATCTTCATCATATCTGTTTTCTCTATGTTCAATTGAAGTCCTCCAATTACCGGTAGACTTATTTTAAAATATGATATTGTTGAACAAATAACTTGACATTTCTAGGATATTTATTACGCAAATCATATCCTTTGTACATCAGGCAGCCTCCACGATCCAGTGGCCTAGCGGATTCATTCAAGTCAGATATGAGAATAAATATTTGGCTAAGACATCGGCTGACAATAGTTCTGTATGCTGCCAATCAGCAGACGTTAGAATTCAATAGTCATTTAACTCGTTCTCAGTGGCGTCGGTGCGTCGGTAGCGCAGTTGTTAGGATACTCGTCGAACATGCACGTGGTCTAGGGTTCGATCCTCTGACAACGCACACCTAATATCAACTGGTTGGCGTGCAAAATTTGGGCTACCGTTATCACATGCTGAGAATTCAACACGTGTAACAAAATACCGTGTGGAGTCAAGTCGTAATCGAAATTTTAAAATATAAATAAATAAACCGTAGATGTGCACATTTCGTAACATGAAGGTTCCACATTCTATCCTTATCGGTGGCATCTTAAGTGCACACTGCTAAAATTATTATTTATTATTATTATAGCTTGATTCCACACCGTATTTTCAGTACAAGTATGGAGTTTTCAGCATGTGATATCGGTAGGCCGACCATAGATATCGGGTGTGCGCCGGCAGGGGATCGAACCCCGGACCATGTGCATAGTCGGCGAGAGTCCTAACCACTGTGCCACCGACGCACAATGTCTCAAAAGAGGAGGAAACGTTTGTCCAGAACCCTCCAGTTTTTTAACAGTCTCCTAACTGATATCACTCCATAATCTAACTCGATATCAACTAAATTTCTGCACGCCAACAGTCCAAGTCTTTTCAGAAATAAGCTTTGACTACTTACCAGTCCAGAGGCAGAATGCTGACCCACCATTTCACATGGCCAGGGGATCGATCCTTGGCTGATGCACTTCTAGACCTTGCTAAGCCGGTAGTAAGTTCAGTAAAAGGAGGAAAGGTTGCTTGTGAGGATAGCAGGACTATCCCATAAAAATATGAACCACTGCTCAGGTTTAAGGCCCTGTCTTAAACTCGGAACTTCAAAAAGCCTTACTTACCAATTAATAGTTTGAAACAACTTTATCGTGAACATTATATCTATCATTTTTCTTTATAACTTTCTAGATTACGAAACTTGTCTATCAATATCTACGCTTTCTATCAAATAAAGCGCATGAATCATGTGTAAACAATAGGAATTCCACTGAATTGAATAATGGTAATAATATCAACAAAATTCAACAAACAATAAATTCCAGTGGCAAGTCTTCATTCGACTCTTGTGTACGAGATCTTCAGACAACACAAAAAGAAGCATTTCTAAATCGTGCAACATTTGGACCACAAGAAACTGTTATATGGATAGCCAACATGCTTCACTACACTTTACCACAAGATGTACACTCAGCTTACTTAGTGATAAGTAAACCTGATTTCCAGGCAAGTTGATTTCTTCGCATGGCTATAAATTTTATTTTTTTTTTACTTTTGGGAATAGTTTGGAGTTAATCTGTGTAATAGTGAGTACTGAGCATTTGTAATCATAGGAATAAGCAGATTCTTTGACAGTTTGACAGGAAATGTTATTCTGAGGTTGTTTAATGACTGCGACTTAACCTTCAAGTGTGTAAGTTTGAATACAATCATGCCTGACACGTGGCTGTGTAAGAGCTTACGTGGAGTTGTCATCTGAAGTGGTGACAAACACTGATATTCATCATGGATACCTATGTACTAATGTGACTTATACTAACTGATTTTGGTGACTGTGTGGTTGGCTTAATTCATGAGGACAGTTTTGTTGACTTAATGTATGCAGAATACGTTGTCCTACTAGGGGAATACGATGACAAAATCCAGTCTTCCAAACATATCTTGATGGAAAATCTTTGAAAGTTTGGCCTGCGATCTACCCCTATCAAATGTAAGACAGTGTTGCAGGACTGGACTTGACCGGCCCCTTGCTTAAATATGACGAGTGAAGTTTGTTATTGAGCGTGCTGACCACTTCACTTATTTAGGAAGTGTCATCAGCCTTCATAGACTGATTGCCGACCAGATATCAGCACGGATACAAAGATTGGTATGGCATCTGGCAAATCACGTCATCTCTAGAGTGTACGTGGTACCTGGCTGCCTATGAAAGAACATGTTTAGAGAGTACAGGATCTCTACTGTCTTCATTTGTAACTGTGGGACGTGGTCACTGAATGTGGAAGATGTAAAAAGACTACCTGTTTCTGACGTTACGCACCCGCGATACATCCTTCTTGTTATGTGAAACAATATGGTTAGTATTATGCCGGACTTGGAAATGCGATGTGTTGTTTAAGGAGTTTAATTCAGTCGATGAAGTTGTGAAGCTGCATGGAGGAAGACCAATGAATTACGTACTACACACACTACGCTGTCGCCTTCATCATTCGTTATTGTAAGCTGAAATAGGATTAGTTTGGAAAAGAGTTAAGGATGCTAAAGTCATAGCCTGATATCATTCCGAGAAATATTTTAAATGTGTGTAAGAATCACTAATGGAGGTATAGATTGCATGGTTTGGGTCCTCGGGGTGCTAAGAACCAACAGCTGGAAACGATTACTGGTATTGCTTCAAATCTATCTCAATATATCAGATGTGTTCACTGCTTTTGTTCCTCAGGATCCATTAAATTCTTCCGTTTTTCCAGGTTATTATTTTCTCTCTTTCTCTCCTTAACATTTGTGTCTATTATCGTTCTTTTAAATCTCTGTTTTCTCTTCACTCTTCGCCTCTGTGTGTGGCATCTTGTGCTGCTGATGAGTTATGTTGAAATGTGAGACCAAGGAAATAGAAATAATCAAGTGTTAGTTTGCAGAGACTCGGTTAACCACAGGAATTCATCATCAACTGATTTCTGTAAGAGAACCACTGGAAAACGAACAGGTTGTACTGGATAGCTGTTTCATCCGAGTTCGGGACTCTTCATTAGTACTCACCCACCTCAGGGGTTACAAGGTGAGGTTGAAGACCCTGAAGCCACTGAGACCCTATCCAATGACCAGCCCATGAATTCCAACTCATGCCGATTAACGATATGGCAGTAGCGAATGTCATTGCTGGTGAATATTTGTCCTCACACTAGACCTGATGCTGGATTCTTGTTGGGAAGTCAGGACCAGTGGGGTACAGCAGGTTGGGTGTTAGGACAAATACTCGCCAGCGTCGACATTCGATAGTACCAATCGCGCCATATCGTCAATTGGCATGAGTTGGAATTCATGGGCTGGCCATTGGATCGGGTCGCAGTAGGTGAGTGGTCTACGAGCTTGCCTTGTAACCAGAAGGTCCTGGGTCCGAACCCCTGAGGTGGGTGAGTAGTAGTTCATTATTATAATATACTACTTCTCTACCAAGATCATGCATTATGTATCTTACGTTTCTCTTGAATTTAGGTTTATTCAGAATTTTTGGACACGTTATCCAAACAACAAGCTTGCCTGATACACAGTTCAAAACTGAATCCATCAATATATAAAAATATTCATACTGAGAAATGGTATAATCTACAGTATACACAAGAAGGTAAGACTAATTTTAAGTATATACTATCATTTTATTATGAATGGCTAAACATTTTTTGTGAGAGGCGTTTCTTCTCAAACGCTTAAACAATTTATCTAAAGATTCGGATGATGAGTTGAAGTGTAGCTGAAGACAACAAACTCAAAACTCAAAGTCTTTCTGGAGTGATTACGTCCGCCTTACTCGAATTTTCCCCACATGATTAATTATCATTTATTTTCAAGTATTGGTTTTGTAGGGATTTTATTTGATTGGTTGGCGGATTTCATCATGAGCTGACATCAGTTAGAAAATCAGCGGAAAACTATCTGGAAGTATTGGAGAGTTGTTTCGTCCTAGTTTGGGACTCCGCTTAAGCAGTACGCAACCACTGTAGGGTTCGAACACAGGACCTTCTGGTTATAAGGGGAGCTCGTAGACCACCAAGCGACTGGGACCTGATCAAATAGCCAGTCCATGAATTCTAACTTCTGCCAATTCATGACATAGCGAGACCACTCCGCAATGTCTTCTTCGATGAGTTACTGCCTCATCTTCAACCCCCTACACCCTACTGGTCATGGTTTCCTACTAGAATCCCAGGTAACTGCCTGAATAGGTCCAGTCACTAGTGAGCATCAGATTAATTTTCAAGTATTGGTGTTTGTAAGGATTTTTTTGTTTCGCTGTCCAGTACTCCCAAGTTTTTATTTATTTGTTTTATTGTTCGTTGTGGGAGAAAAGGCTTCAGCAGTGTCCCCGTATTTCATGCTGTTCTTCACGGTGCTTTGTAACCAGCTTGACTGTTATCCATAAGCTTTTGTTTCTTACAAACATGATCTCCGCCATGTTAGCCTGGAACTTACTTCCAGAGTGTCGTTTCCCTAGTCGCGTTCAATTCCAACGATGGCCCAGAGCATGATGTCACTCAACAGCCTACACAGCGCATGTCTAATTCACCCATTTTCACTTCCTTCAGCGTATTTATTAGACAGTCAGCTCTTTTCTGGTTTACTACCTCAGCAGTGTTCGTCGCTGCTCATTCTTTATAAACTTCCATCCGATACTCGGTATTGAGCTAATTGACGTGTTGCCCGCGGGTTATTGGAAATGTTTGTGATGACATAATAAGTCTCTTAACCATGTAGAAACGTTTGACACTAACGTTGAAGATATAGATTTAATCCCTCACATACTTAGTGAATTTAGTTTCCACAAAGATTTCAGAGAAATGTTTATCTGTCTTGCTTTTCGGATCTTGCCTTCAACAACCTCATAAGTGTCATCTGTAGTTGAAAAGATGCTTTCTAGATTAGTGAATGAGTAGATATCGTTTAGATTTCTCCCTTGATATTGATTGCCGCCCGAGTACATTCACCACCTCTGTCTTCCGCATGTTCAATTAAAGTCCCATCTTCGCTGCTTCCCCTGTCAAACTATGCATTTTGGTCTGTAGACCTTCGAGGTTTTGTGATATTAGTGATAATGTATCCGCGAAATCCAAGTCTTCTAGGGTCTTCTTATCGACCGAACACATTTCTGTGATCTCGCGTCGCATGATTTCTTGCATAACCCTACTCACTAGAATATGTAATTCGTTAGACACCTCAGGTTAACTTTGTATTAACCTCATTGAAAAATACTAAGCTTCATATAAATATAAGGTGACCAAACAATCATTAACTTAAATTGGATGGCAGAAATATTTTTTACTTGTAGGTTGAATCTAGATTTGATGACTTCACTTAAACAGTTTATAAGTTATCTATTAGGTGTTTCTATCTGAAGGCATATATTTTAACTCAACAGATATTACATAACAGAGCAATAGACACAATCAGCAAGCAGCGACTCTTCACAATGAATCACACTCAGTGAAGTAATATGGAATTTATTTTCGAATATACATCCTAACACATCACAGTTTTCGACTAATGTTCAGGATACACAAAACTAATTATGCAACCGAAAAGTTATAATTACATTAGAATATATCAAAAACAGAGGATTAAGTCACTAGACTGGGGGATATTATTATTATTGTTGCTTTTAATTCCTAGAGTAACGTAAGGCTTCAGTCGCACGACTCCTTTCATCTCCTCTTCACTTGACCCCCTCCATGTCACCCTGACACTGATGACAAACTCACCGTTTCCCATTCGGGTTCCACTCCAAAGCCTGTCATCTGATGTCACTTGATGGTTTTCTCAGAGTATGGTTGATCCACCTCCATCTCTCCCTGCATATTTGTTGCACAATCGGTTCTTGGTTGATTCGCTGTCAGAGATCCCTGTTGCTGATCTTTTCTATCCAGGTGCTCTTGAGTAGTATTGATCGAAGTCGGCTGTTGATGCAAGTTAGTAGTTTGCTCGAAGTGCTCTTCATGGCGCGGCGCCAAGTCACTGGTGCGTATAGTAAGTAGCGCTGATTTCACATTGGAGTTGAAAATTTGGATCTTATTTCGCATGCTGAGTGCTGTTGATCTCCACAAAGACTTGAGAGAAATGAAAACTTGCCTTGATTTCCCGATCGTTGCTTTGATATCATCTTCAGTTCCGCCTGTAGTTGAAACGATGCTTCCCGGGTAGGTAGGTGGGTAAAGGAGGTTGCCGTTAAGATTGCTTAATGACAACACCTTCCGGAAGCTTAAGTGGAAGCGGAATGGGAAAGGACAAGTTTGTTGTCCGATGGTAACATGAAGGAGATCGTGTGGTGAAGACATGAAGACTCTCAGGAAATCGTCAAGCGACCTAAAGAGGACTTCAGAGAAACAAATGGATCGTAGATTTGCTGTTAGATATCTGGCTTCCACTCGAAACCTAGTAGAATCATAATAAAAACAATGATTGTTTCAAATGATAAAAGGTTATCCCTGGGACACCACTTGCTCTATGAACATTACCTTGTTAGATCTCCTTAACACCTCCACCTTGTCACTGGGGATTTTACTAGAATGAGATATTCAGTGTTGATGCACTCTGTGGATAATAGTTCGACATACACGATAATGCGTGAAGGGCTTAATTTTCAGCTGATATACTTATATATCCAAATTTATCCTGAACCAACACTGTATAGAAAAAACACTGATTTAAAGCCTCAATATACAAGTGTTTCATTCTTATTTATAACTGTTCCAAGATAACCGCCTTATCTGATTATGTAGGTGTAAATTAACTATACTCACGCCATTATAACAATAGATATGGAAGGAACGAGAGGTACCCTCCTCCATGTCACCCTAGCACCAAAGAACCACTCGTCGCTCCCCATTGCGATTCCAAATCAAGCGCCTGGCGCGCTATGTCATTCGACGGTCTACTCAATGTATGCCTGATCAATCCATCTCAAATTTCTCCTACACATTTGTAGAGCCATCTGCTGTCGCCCGTTGGTTTCTTCCACTGCGCAGTTTCTTTTCACTTATTCTCTCTGGCCATTTGATCTTCAGTATGGAGATAGCGAAGCAGCTGTTGGTGAAAGTCTGGAACGGGCTGTTGGAAATCCTTTTAGTAACTGACACGCAGTGCAAATTTCTGACCCATATAGAAAGACCTGCCTTACATTAGTGTTGAAAATATGAATCGTGTTCCTTATGTTGAGTGCAGAAACTAGTTTCACGTCGATGAAGGCGTATCTTAACTTTCTAATTCTGGCTGGCTGCTTTTGACAGCTTCATCTGTTCCGCCTGTAGTTGAAACGATACCCGCTGCCTAGAAAAGTGAAGGAAGGAACCTCGGTTAAATCTCTCCCGTTGATTTTGATTGGTGCTGGTTGTTGTTGTTGTTGTTTCTGTTGCTTGATTATCTTCATCACCTCCGTCTTCTCTATGTTTACCTGGAGTCCTGTCTTTGCTACTATCGTCTCCAGCCAGTTTGTTGGTTTTTGTTTGACTTCGAGTCTTCGATTTTTGTGAAATTAGACACATATCATCTACGAAATCAGGATCTTCTAGAGTTTTCTTATTGGAGGTCCAGTGTACTCCTGTCCCTTTGCTCTCTATGCACAGTCTGCTACATATAAATGGCTAATAGTAAAACGAAATATTAGGATCAGGAATAAATCACAAGTAAAGGCAAATAATAAGAATTAAATCAAAAGAAGTTACGTACAAGCTAGAACGATGATACACAAGTCAGAGGGGAGAAAGAATAATAGTTGTCCAATAAGGTGAAATATTTATTCAAATAAGCAGCAACTACAACTCTTAGTAATTTGAACATCGTCTTCATATTGTAATGTACTTCAATTCTTGTAGCACCTAACTTCCAGTTACTGGGTATTACATGAGTCCATACATAAAAATGATTGGTTCGCAGAGACTGGGAGCTAACTATAATCATTCGTAATCATGATCGATCCTACAGATCTCTTATATCTAATACACAGAAAAAGATAAAGCGTAATTTTGTGTCCAACATAAAAGGAACAGTGATAAAAGCTTGCTTATTATTCAGCCTATCCGCAATTTGAAAATATGCTCTGTTACAATTATATATTCTATAAATTACAGTAGCCTCATCCAGATAGATAAATTTCATTAACTTCACGGGATCTAAGACTTCAGAGAGCTGTTGTTTACTTGCAGTTTCCAGCTATTTGTAGTATTTCCGTACGCTTTGAACCTGGCGGTTGGTTCAAGAGTCTTTTGAAGTGATCAATCCATTATTTACCTTGGTTTCCCCCCCCCCATTTTATGATAAAATATCCTTCATTTCGCCTTGTATGTCTCATCTGTGTGGATTTCTTCTAAGAGAGGCACGTCTTTTTCTAGTATAGTGAGGCCTTTCTTACCTGAATCCAGCTGTGATTCAGTTGCTAGTGTGTATTGCAGAAATAAGCATCTTTTGTCTCTACTAGCACATTTCTTCACCTCTTAATTCGTGGAATGGTCGACTGAATTTAATTTCTCCTTCAGTTGTCCATCTTTGTACTGGTTCATCTTCTATTCTAGGTTACCATTATTCTAGATCACAATTATTCATATGTATCTTTTAAATCTAATCTACAGAAAAAGTAGTTATTAATTTTGTACCAGATATCAAAAAGAGATAGTGATCAAAAGACACCTTCTCCTTTAAAATACCCTCAATGTTAATATACTCTCTTTTGTGAATTTTAGAAATCTCATCCAAACAAATGGGTTGTCTAAACTATACAGATGAAACAATTCCATTTTCGCTTCCTTTAAAAGTCAACGGAATGGGTATGTGAAACAGCTTTTTATTTAGTATTTATTTTGGTTTTCTTGTACATTTGAAAAAAGTGAATCGAAATGGTAGATCTCATTTAACATTACAACCTGGAGCGTGAAATATCTGAGGAAACTGCCTACCTGAATAGGGCCAGTCACTCATGAACATCGGATTAATATGTGTGTGTGTTTGGCTTGTAACCAGAAGCTCCTGGGTTCGAACCTTGGCAGTGGGTGTGTACCAATGAAGAGTCCCAAAGAGGGATGAAATGGCTCTCCAGTACTTCTAGGTTAATAATATTATAGTAATTTAGCTGACTGGTCGAATTGTAACTCTATGCAAGCAATGCCAACCAAACCTTACCTGGAGGTGTCGCCAGGACTCGAACTCGGATCGCTGAATTCAGAGTACTGACCGCTCCAACACGCATGCCTAGCCATCGATCGCCTTTCTCGATAAAGGGCAATGTTAGCTGGCTGGTTGGAAAAGAGCTAACACGCGATGATCAAATGAAAACATAGCTTCATCAGTCTATGAAATATATCCACAACAGTTAGTTTAAGCCACTCAGCCAGCCACGTATCGAGGGATGGTAGAAACCAATTAAGGCTGGCTCAAAGGGATCGTTCTCAGTGGCTGGTGCAGATGCATTCACTCTTTGTGATTTATGATATCCAATACAATTCTACTGTTCTTCCATTTTACTATTCCATTTGTCTCACATTTCTGTTTATTATCTCCCTCTCTCTTTTGAATCTCTCTTTGCTCTCTTCTCGTGCTTTGTGTGGTACATGGAGGGAGTGTGGCAACTGAATTTGCCTAACATCTGTGCAAAGTTCTGTGTTGACAGCAGTCAATCAGTCAGTATCCAGTAAATAATACTGCTTCAATCGCGGTGTATGATATATCCAATAAACAAAATTATAGAATTACATACTACGGCACAGTGGTTAAGTTTTACACATATTTTGATTTGACACTAGTAACTAGTGTGATGCATCTAGTCCTCTCTTTGGTGCAGACTGCATTTTGTCAGTCAGGTTGTAATGTGGCCACCATTCTAGGTAGCTTGCCATCACGGTGATGATATTAGATGGTTGGAGGCAATCGGCCACAGGAAGCCTTGGACACCACCTAGGTTTCATGCTAGTTGGCAGTCACCAGCAAGGCGTATCTGCAACCTTGAAGGAACTGATGTCCCTTCTGAGATTCAAACCCGCGTCACCCAGTGCTGCAGTCAGAGACGTTACCACTGAGCTATTCGGGCTCGCGATTGACCTCCTGTAGGACTGTAGTGGATATTTTCATTTGACACTAGTAACTAGTGTTATGTATCTAGGCCTCTCTTTGGTGCAGACTGAATTCTGTCAGTCAGGTTGGGTGACCCGCACTGGGTGACGCGGGTTCAAATCTCAGAAGGGACATCAGTTCCTTCAAGGTTGCAGATACGACTTGCTGATGAGTGCCAACTAGCACGAAACCTAGGTCCAAGGCTTCCTGTGGCCGATTGCCTCCAACCATCTAATAGTTTTACACATATTATACAGAGGATTTTAGTAGTGATAGTAATATCACTTGTCAAGAACACTGTCGTGTTTGAAGAAATGTTTAAGTCTTTACTTGGAACACTTCGAAAAAGATAAGTCATTTTCTAAGTGACACAAATAGAAACAGACCTTTGACATACACATTTGTCCTGAACCTAATGGTAGTGAAGAATACTCATAGCAGTCATGAAACTTGATTATCCAGCTTCTGAATGCACACACACAAACACGAACATATGTAGCCAAACGTATGTATATTATTATTCAGGTATTAGTTTGTAAGGATTTGATTGATTGGTTACAGGATTTCATCATGAGCTGACATTGGTTAGAGAATCATTGGAAATCCAGCTGAGAGTACTGGACAGCTCTTTCGTCCTCGTTAGCGACTCCGCTTGATCAGTACGCACCCACTGCAGGGTTCGAACTCAGGACATTCTGGTTACAAGGTGAGCTAGTAGACCATTGAGCCAACGGGACTCGATCCAATGGCCAGTCCATGAATTCATATTTCTGCCAATTCACGACATAGAGCGACCACTAGCCAATGTTTTCGGCGAGTATTTGTCCTCACACCCGACATGCTGCATCCTACTGTTCTCCACTTCATACTAGAACCCAGATAACTACCTACCTGAATAGGGCAAGTCACTAGTGAGCATCTCATCGATATCCAAGTATTGGTTTGTAGGGATTTGGTTGATTGGTTACAGGATTTCATCATGAGCTGACGTTGGTTAGAGAGTCAATGGAGAACCAACAGGAAGTACTGGACAACTGTTCCGTCCTAGTTTGGTCAAACCGAAATTTAAGCACTAACTACTCCTTTCTATTCATTCTTCAACAATGGATATCTCAAACGAACCGTAGAAAAGTACGGTGAACGTTACACAAAGAAGGTAGAATATACTGATATTGAGCAGCAATCAATGTGAGTCAAATAAGGACCCAAAAGGGGATGAATCTGGAGAGAGAATTGCCTGGTTGATTAAAGGTACAATATCAAGGAGGCATCTAACCGTTTAACTGGTGCCTTCCGTATGTAAAGTAGCCTGTTCGATTACACAGTCCAAAGTAGATCGAATTCCCAGCTTTCATTAAATCCAACTGTGTTTTTGAATTCTGATGTATGTGTTGTAGAAAGTAACTGGAAATAATAGAAAGGTCGTTTGATGCAGAGATTGTCAAACATATACCAAAGAGACTACGTATTTATCCAGCAACTGAAAATGCCTCTTTGGCTTCTAATTTATGTACATAAAAGTGATGTACTAACAGCCCTTTCAACTTATTTGTTCATTTAAATTCATGAATCACCAATTTTGATTATCAACTTCATTTCTCAGGTGAAGTAATTGTCTGTGGTGAGTCATGATATTTTGTCCACTTACCTACTTATTATGAAAATAATTTTCTAACCGAATGCTTCTTAATTTAAGTAAAACCATGAATGAACTATTCCTTAGATTGAACGCTATAAAACTGTCAGATGGTTGGATGCAGACAGTAGAAAATCCTGGACACCGGGGTCTTACGTGTTATTGTTGTTGATGCTGCAATTATGACTGTTAGAGTTCAGTCTACACCAAAACCTGTTGAGCAATCACTGTATGTAAAACAGTCCTAGAAGAGGTCAATTTTTAACCCAACTTATACTCAGTGGCAATATCTCTGACTGCAGCACTGAGTGATTCGGGTTTGAACGCCAGGGTGGACATTACCTTCCCTTCAAGGTGGTAAATATGTCGCCCTGACGAGTACCAGCAACCACGAAATCTAGGTCTAACTTGAGCTACCTGCCGATTGCCTCTAGACACCTAACATCAATTTAGACCGCGATGTGTTTGGTAGCCTCTTTGCTTGTTGTCCACATTACATACTTAGATGAATGATAGAATTCGCCAACATCGAGGAATAGAGGCATGACATTCATTAGTTGGACTGTTTTTCTGAATTATTTCAGAATCACTGAATATCTACCGCATAACTGGTTCTCATGTTCACGTCTTACACTAATTTATCAATCTTTACAACTAGCCTACTCATGATCCTTTCTTTTTATCGATCAAATTTTAGCTCGTGACTATTCAATTGTATCATCTGAAAATGACATGCAGGTAACTTCACTCAAGTTTTAAAAGGTTTTGTAATTATTTCATTGTAAATAATTGAATCCAATGAAGTCCTTGATGCTGTTCAAATTTGGTTGTTTTATGTCCTGCACTTTTAATATTTGCTATAATGATAGCGAAATGTCCGTGAATTAGAAAAAGTGAGCCCAGAAGACGCGTAGATCACTTCAAATACCCAAACTTCATAATAGTATTGATATTGATGCCAGGCTCTTCAGATTACTGGGTCAAGCAGTCGGACTTGAGTTCAGTGACTCGTGAATTCCCATCTATATAAATTCTTTATACATATCTCTACCACCAATCAATGCTTACAGTTAGCGTTTACACGAAACTCTAAGTTCCAAGATTTTATCACTTTCAGGGTCGTAAGCATGCAGTGCTGAAGAGTCAAGCGGTAAGATGAAACATCTTTGTTCACTATTTCCTCGCTTTCAATGACTCTCTAAATGAAGTCAGTCCTAGACAAACTCCATGTTGAAATTAATCGAGATCCTCAGAAAAATTCACAGTTTAAATATCATTGTACTAGTAACATTTGCATACATTCCAAATTTTCATTTTATTGCACTCTTTTACATTCTCAGTGGAACATAGAGCTTCAAGCTAGAGGCTTAAAGTTTCACTAGCAGTATTGTTAATTTTTACGAGTTGGAGTTGACAGCCTCATGTTCAAACTTCTCTTTATACCATTATTATAATTGGTTTAGCAAGGTAATGCAGTGCATCTGTAGAAGATCGGACTCTGAACCACATGCGCCGTTGAGGAGCATGCTTTCGCTGTGCAACTGACACATGGAAAGTGCTTCGCCCAAGGCACGGCTGAGACATCTGTAATAATTCAGCCCTAATAATATTTATTTTTTTTAAACATTTCAGATACCTATCAATTTAATCACAGAATTTAAAGGAACTATGTACGAGTCATATGGTTCTGTTTGGTATCATCAGATTAACAATCAGACAGCAGATGATGGTAAGTATAAAATAATTTCTCTGCAATATTTTCCCTGAACAACATGAAGTAGATGCAGACCAGCTTCTTTTCAGAACGCCTAAAAGAAACGTCATTTGTTCATGAGGTAGTTTGATGGATGGTGACTGGCAGTGGTATCCAGTAGGCGCATTTGGTCCCATTTAGGAACAGTCAGCTGGACGTTCCTGCAACCTCCAAGTGGGTGACAATGGTCTCACTGTGAGATTGAGGTTGAGGTATAATAAAACGATCGATGAATATATTGTCAGTTAGTAGAAGTTGGGATTTATGGGCTAATAAATCGAATTCCACTGGCTGGTTGGTCTATGAGCTTGTTTTCAAGCCAGAATTTCCTGATTTTGACCCCCGTCGGATGCGTATGCACACATATTGGGGCATCAAAGGATTATGATAGCGAAACAGGATAGATATATCCTGTGGGGTGGAAAGTGAAATGGGTTTTTAAGTCTAGGTTATGTTGACCTCTAAAATAGTTATGGATGTATATGAATAATTTATTCATATTCACTTGCTAAACTTTTATTACATTAACATTTTAAACACCGAAATGCAAGTATCTTTTTTCAATGGTGAAAACAAAGATAACAGGGGAATAAATTTAACTGAAGATGAGAATGAACACTGTACGACTCCTATCTAGCTCCTTTATTTGACTGAGGGATGACAGAGAATTAATGTACACAACGTTTGAGACAAGCAAATTTTGATTTTATTCAAATTATATACCGTTGAAGACATCTCAAGTAAATCAGTGATTCACTGGTAAAATGCTCAACTGCGTCGCCCGACGTGGTTTGGATTTCGATTCTCAGTCGACTCATTCTTAAAACTAACAAAACCAGTAGGAAGTTCAGTAAAGAGGGAAGGTTGACTGTGAAATTAACAATATCAAGGCGCAAAAACGACAACGCTACTACTCAATCTTCAAGCAATTCAAAACGTTAAGGATTTGAGGAATGCACATGTAGCGAATGGCTAGCAAAATCGAAATTTGTATGCCTGTAAGGAATACTTAGATAAGATCTTACAAAGATATTTAGGTGTGCATTTCCACTAATAGCCTGAATTTCTAAAGAATACACTATGAATACACCTAAGCCAATCAAGATTGTCTGTCTGTTGATTTGAATATGAGCTATAAATTATGGTCGACTTGTTGTCATCAGTTAGTAATGCTGTATCAATGTGTGTATATGCGCGCTACACTGAGGAGATCATTGAGTGACACAGCCAGCCCTCGCGAAACCTCGAGTTGAACCCGAAGGGGAAACAATTAGATAGGCCTGAGGCCGATGGTGGCATAGAGGAGGCTATGTGACAGGGAGATTACAGCACTCAAAAGGCAAGAGAAACATTAATGTAGAAAGCATGATGAAACGGGGATAAGCTGTAGCTGACCTATGTTCCACTTGACACCTAAAGGATTGATCATAAATAATGATAACAATGCTGTGTTTTCAGCAGAACAAAATAGTTATATAATGAGACGCACTCCGCCAGCAACAAGCTGGAAAGGCAAATCATGTGCCGATCAGATTGCAGCTCCAGGCACCACCATCATCGAACAAAGCATAGAATGCCAGTCAAAACTATACTTCAAAAACTTAATCAACTTCTAAAAGGCCTTCGACAGAGAGCGTTAACTGAGAAGCAATCTGGAAAAATAATGGCGTACTCCAGGATTTTATCAATCTCATTCAACAGCTAGTTATATGACAAAGCCACATGTCAGGTGATCCACAAAGGGAAAGTCAGTGAGGAGTTCGAGGTGGAGACAGGAATAAGACGAGGCTGAGTGCCTGTTATCACCGATGATATTCCTAATTGTGGTGGAGTGGATTAATCGGAAGACCGTGCATAGGGAGTGAGAAGACAGGAACACGTTGAAGAGACCAATAAGAAGACTGTAGATGATCTGAATTTCGTGTATGGATGATTTATATTTAATGTCTCACAAACTGGGGGACTTCCAGGTAGGCGAAAATCAACAAACTGGCAGGAGAGGCTGACAGCGAAGACAGGACTCCAGGTGAACATGTAGAAGACGGAGGTGATGAAGATAACCAACCAACAACAAACAGCACCAATCACTGTCAACGGAGTATATTTGAAGGAGGCTACTTCCTTCACTTATCCATCTTGGAAGCATCATTTCAACAACAGGCACACAGCGCGGATAGAAATGTAATCACCAGCCAGCCAGAATCAAGAAAAAAATATATCTTCGTCAACCTGAAACCAGTTTGGAAATCTTCTGAACTCTACTGCGTAAAGAGCGAGATTCCGATTTTCAGCACAAATGTGAAGTCTGTCACTTCTTCTATACGGGTCAAAAACTTAGCGTGCGCGTCATGGAGAGGATTTCCAATGGGCCAGTTCCGACTTTTATCAACGATTGGCTTCTCTGGCTCCATGCTGAAGATCAAATGGCCCGGTTGAGATGGATCGATCGGGCATACGTTTAGGAAGCCGTCGAATAACATCGCGCTCAATGCAGGCGATTGCCCAGGTGAACCTGAATCTAAATCGATGAATGGGTCATTGGTGAGAGGGTGACATGAAGGAGATCGTTTGAGGAGGCGGAGGAGGAGGAGATGAGTGGTTATGAGCAGTCATTGAGCCAGGCAGCTGAAGATGACGGCAAAATATAGAGGAAAGCGGAGATGTGTTGCTGAAGATCAGTTTTCCATTCGGAAAATAAAGGAATAACAAATAAATTTTTTTTTTGATTTTACGGCTCAATTCCACACCGTATTTTAGTACAAGTATGGAATTTTCAGCACGGATATCGGTAGCCCGAATTCAGGCTGACCATAGATATCGGGTGTGCGCCGGCAGGGGATCGAAACCCGGACCATTCGCATGGTCGGCGAGAGTCCTAACCACTAGTTTCTATATGCATTACTTCAATTACTTAACCATCTTTAGTGGTTTAATTTGAGTTTTCATAAATCCCATTTAAGTCTCTTTTTTCCCACTCTGTTTTATTCCTTAATAAATCTTGTTTTCTATTTCATCTTACCTACACGTATTTACTTAAATTCAGTATACGTATACACACATATCTCATCTGGAATGGAATTTAACGATCCCTCAAAGTAAGTTCTTATGCTTTATCTATTCTTAACATAACTGTATAAAACATTTATTTAACATGTAACAGCATTGAACAGCATTTCTAGTGAACTTCGAAACTTTTAAGGAAAATTCATGTACCCATTCTCATTTTAACTTTCATCGAAAGAAGTTGTGTAGGCTTTCATAACCTGGCGACATTTCATCTGTCTAAATCCAACGAGGGAAGGATATTTCTTTTCAAAATCCTTGTGAGCAGTGATTGCATTAGTCTTCCAGGGTTAAATGACTAGTCCCACACTCAAATTCCATCCAGTTTTCAAGCTTAGGAAAGGTTATTAAACTCACTGAAGCCTTGTGCATCACGGAAAGGATTTCAAATATTCATCAACAAATGTCATTGTCTTATGAGATTAAAGGTCAATATGACGATCAAAAATGTTAATTTTAATGTATAAGTACTTATTTTTATTTGAAGAAAAGTTCATGTCTCCACATTTTAAGTATTTAAACACAGTCGTATGCTGAAGACATTAAATGTCATCAGTTTCATTCTCATCCCCTGATTAGATATTGCCTATTCTCTTCCCTTTTTGCAATTTTATTTCTTTCCTATTTAGGGCATGTTTGTCTCGCCTACTTCAAACAAGTATAAAGCTTCGATTGTTAGATTTGGATATGATCACGAAAGAAAGTGGAATAGAGTAAGTCGCCTTTCATACTATAATAACATTATACAATGAAATGTCTATTTAGAAATAGTACCTCATCCACAGATGTAATAAGCACGAGCGTACAGATAACCACTAAGGAACTTCAGTTTAACAAACGGGATGTTGTGAATGACACTACTGAGTAGAAACAATCGAATTTCGAATGCTCATGTCACCAAGGCAGACTTACAAGATGCACACAATAAAAGGTCAATGTATTCTTTTAAGAAGGAGGTATCAAAGTTGCCGAAGGATACCTTTGTATCAGATGAAATAGATGTCGATGAAATGCATTACTTTATAAGACGATTTCAACCGACTGTCTAACAGTAAATTTGTATGTCATATCAGGCATGATCCCACTATACTTTCTTTTAGATGTCATTGGGTGTTCAGACCACAAAACGTGAGATCTCATGGCATTCTGTTAATAGTGTAGATAGCCAACCAAATTCTTTGCTAAGGTAACTTAATAGCTAACTGTAAATTGATACGGTCAATATTTCATCCCACTTATTTGAAATGATTACATTAGAGAGCTGATGTCTTCAGCAATAAAAGAACCTGGTAGCTGATAGATAAATATTCAGATCACTTTTATGCAAGTAGTGAAAGGATTTAGAAAGAATAAGGGATTTTAAAATGCCTATCCAAATCGATATCGTCAAAAGCATTGAAGACAACTGAATATAACGTCTTTCCATCACCATTTTTGATGCCGTTTTAGAACCTAATTGATATTTTCCAGTTGTAGTAAACGTAGATTTTGTTGAGAAATCCATCTGAACGTTGCTATACGGCCTTTACCTTTGGGCTTTAAGGGAAATAATCCTACACATCCATGGCAGATATCCGCTATTACGAACCTATCTATACTTGCATTTCACTATGACCTAATTCGCGAATCTATAAGTAGCCTACAATTCAACTTCAAGATTTAAAAATTGAAGAGCTCACAACCACTTCAGCCATCACAGCAAAGTTGGAGGCATTGCGTGTAGCATCACTGTGGAGAACTGTATGGAAGAATATTGTTACTCTCTAAACGTAATGTTAAAAGGAACTTTTATAGCTGTTCTGGAAAGTAAAACATGGCAAAGCACGGAATAGCTCTCTACGTATATATGATGGCTAGCAGAGAAGAGAGGGACACTGAAAGACAACGTAAACCATGCATAGATGGGCAATGAG